GTTCCCAGTGCTACTGTGTACTACAAATGCACAAACACGTTCCAGTACTACTGTGTACTACAAAGCTTGCACAAAGTCGTTCCCAGTACTACTGTGTACTACAAAGCTCGCACAAACTACCTCCCAGTACTACTGTGTACTACAAAGTTTGCACAAAGTCGTTCCCAGTACTACTGTGTACTACAAAGTTCGCACAAACTACTTCCCAGTACTTTGTACTACTAAGCTTGCACAAAGTCGTTCCCAGTACTACTGTGTACTACAAAGTTCGCACAAACCACTTCCAAGTACTACTGTGTACTACAAAGTTCGCACAAAAACGTTCCCAGTACTACTGTGTACTACAAAGCTTGCACAAAGTCGTTCCCAGTAGCTCGCACAAACTACTTCCCAGTACTACTGTGTACTACACAGCTTGCACAAAGCCGTTCCCAGTACTACTGTGTACTACAAAGCTTGCACAAAGTCGTTCCCAGTAACTTCCCACAAACTACTTCCCAGTACTACTGTGTACGTGTAGTACTACTGTGTACTACAAAGCTTGCACAAAGAAACTTCCCAGTACGTGTACTACACATGCACAAACACGTTCCAGTACTACTGTGTACTACAACGCTCACACACACTACTTCCCCTGTAGACACTGCGACACCCACGTGGCAAAAAACGCGAGGTGTTGCAGTTTCCCCTATAGACACTGCGACGTCCACGTGGCAAAAAGGACGAGGGTTTTGCAGCTTCCCCTATAGACACTGCGACATCTACGTGGCAAAAAACACGAGGTGTTGCAGCTTCCCCTATAGACACTGCGACATCTACGTAGCAACAAAACACGAGGTTTTGCAGCTTCCCCTATAGACATAACAACGTCCACGTAGCAAAAAGCACGATGTTTTGCAGCTTCCCCTATAGACACGGCGACGTCCACGCAAAAAAGATACGAGGTTTTGCAACTTCCCCGATAGACACTGCGACATTTCCGTCGCAAAAAGCATGAAATTTTTGCAGTTTCCCCTATAGACAGGGCGACGTCCACGTAGCAAAAGACTCGATGTTTTGCAGTTTCCCCTATAAACACTGCGACATCTACGTAGCAAAAAACACGAGGTGTTGCAGTTTCCCCTATAGACACTGCGACATCTACGTAGCAAAAAACACGAGGTGTTGCAGCTTCCCTTATAGACACTGCGACATCTACGTAGCAAAAAACACGAGGTTTTGCAGTTCCCCTAAAGACACTGCGACATCTACGTAGCAAAAAACACGAGGTTTTGCAGTTTCCCCTATAGACACTGCGACATCTACGTCGCAAAAGACATGAGTTTTGCAGTTTCCCCTATAGACACTGCGACATCTACGTGGCAAAAAACACGAGGTTTTTCCCCTATAGACACTGCGACATCCACGTAGCAAAAAACACGAGGTTTTGCAGCTTCCCCTATAGACACTGCCACATCCACGTAGCAAAAAACACGAGGTTTTGCAGCTTCCCCTATAGACACTGCGACATCTACGTAGCAAAAAACACGAGGTGTTGCAACTTCCCCTATAGACACTGCGACATCTACGTCGCAAAAAACACGAGGTTTTGCAGTTTCCCCTATAGACACTGCGACATCTACGTCGCAAAAAACACGAGGTTTTGCAGCTTCCCCTATAAACACGAGGTTTTGCAGCTTCCCCTATAAACACTGCGACATCGACGTCGCAAAAGACACGCGGTGTTGCAGCTTCCCCTATAGACACTGCGACATCTACGTGGCAAAAAACACGAGGCTTCCCCTATAGACACTGCGACATCCACGTAGCAAAAAACACGAGGTGTTGCAGCTTCCCCTATAGCCACGGACGGCAACATCTACCTTCCAAAGATACGAGGTTTTGCAGCTTCCCCTATAAACACTGCGACATCTACGTAAGCAAAAAACACGAGGTTTTGCAGTTTCCCCTATAGACACTGCGACATCTACGTCGCAAAAGACACGAGGTTTTGCAGTTTCCCCTATAGACACTGCCACATCCACGTAGCAAAAAACACGAGGTTTTGCAGTTTCCCCCTATAGACACTGCGACATCTACGTAGCAAAAAACACGAGGTTTTGCAGCTTCCCCTATAGACACTGCGACATCTACGTCGCAAAAGACACGAGGTTTTGCAGTTTCCCCTATAGACACCGAATTAACGACGCGAAAAACGACGCGAAAAACGACGCGAAAAGGACGCGAAAAACGTCGCGAAAACGACGCGAATAACGACGCGCCGACCAATTGGCGGCGAACAAAGGTCCAACCCCCAGACCCCCAACTATAAACGGGAACCCTTCGCTACGCATTCGGGAAAAAATCGAAAACGGTGACCGACTTTCGTCCTATTGTTTCCACTCGTGTTTTCTACAAAATTTATGTTTTCATGTGACTAGTTCCCATGCTGGACCCGATTTTTGTCAACCAACAGCCGGAAGAACAACACGGAATTCTAGCGCATTACAGGCTGGAGGAACACTTAACCACCGCAAATGTTGTCACCGACAAGTTGTTAAGGATCAACACGCGTATTTGGATTGTGAGTTTGGACCCATCAGAGTCCTTCGAACGTAGTGGCGATCGTTCCGTGACCATGGCATCTCACAACATTTGGTTTGGGCAGCAACGCCTATATTCGAGAGCACATTGCACACTCCGCAATACGACATCCATGATTTGGGCAGTTTCTCCCTTTCCCTGAGGGCGGTCCATCAACACGGGGGCAATCTTGCTAACCCATCGAGCAGGGAAAGCGATGAGGCCCGGCAGAACACCGTGACACCCGCCATCCCCTGCTTTTGGCGGGAGAGGCTAGCTTTGACCGGCCCACAGGGTGGTCGGACACAGTTTACGTCCTCGAATTGGCGACGACCGGCTACAGTTTTTGATTTCGGTATCAACTTGCATGCGAAAAGGAGTGAAGACGAGAGTTAAATAGATTAACTCTCAAGTTGATACTTGAGCATTCAGCCTCTTCCCTTGCATGTTGGTATGGCTAGACCTTTTAGTTTTAAGTTTTAAGATTTGCAGATGATTTTCTTTACGTCCAGCGTTCATGAAGCAACCGTTTTGCTTGACTTACTCGCGCAAGATTTGGCAGCATCAAGTGTGCTTTTCAATGCGCGCAAAACTGATCAAAACTGTTACTCTCACAAAACGAAGCGCGGTCCCCTTCACAGTTTGTTCTTTCCAATGAGCAAGTCATTCAGGTGGAGTATGGTGAATATGGTCATTGAGTCATAGGTGGCTGGGCTGCATCCTAAGCGTCGGTCGCTTCCATGGAACATCCTTGGATGCCGAGTTCCATTTGCAGGCAGCCGGGCGGGCATTTTTTGCTGTACGTGTCACAGATCGCTTGCGATTTTTCGATGCTGTGGTGACACCATTTGACTTTTCCGAGCTGGGTGCCGGACAATCCATCAACATGCTTTGCAAAGCATGGATCGTGCATTTCGAAAGCTAGTTCGGAAAATGATTCGGACCCGTCCCTGGCATGAAATTATATATCATTATATATCTGTATATGAAACGAGACATTTGAAACAATAAGAAGACAGAATGATTTGGATATTGGGTCCCGCCAATGTTTGAGACAATATTGAAACCTTGGCTTATACATTGCAGGTCTGTCGACCTGGGTCCGTCGTGTTCTGTGTGTTCTGTGTTGGTGCCTACTTGGCCGCCGTGGTCCGGGAATTTTTCCCGGCGCAAACAACTGGGCAACTAAAAAGATGTAGTTTCACAAGGCAAAACCTGGCTGCGACTTACAGAGGGTTTTGTTATGTTTTGCAATATTACTGGCTGAGTGAGACATTAGTGCCCAGGTTTCTTGCATGTACTTTTTGTTTGCCTGCGCCCAAAGGGGCCGCCTCCGGGCATGCAGGAGCTTTCAAACGTTCTACCCTCATCGCTGCTACGCTCCACAATCTTCTCCTCAATCCTCGAACATTCCAAGATCTTCTCTTCAGTTTGCTAACGTTTTACCACCATTGATGCAACGCCTTGAGATTGCCTTGGATCTTTTGTTTCACTTACCACCGTTCTACCATCATTGTTGCTACCCTTTAAGATCTTGACTAAAAAATTCCAGCCTCATGGATGTTGCTACGTCCTTTTTTTATCATTGATGCTATGTTCCAAGATCTTCTCTTCTGTTTTTCAAACATCATTGATGCAGAACTCTATGGTCGTGCCGTCAATTTTCCAACATCATGATGTCTACGTTTGAGGATTTTAAGATTTTCCTTTCAAATTTCCGCAATCACTGATGATAGGCAGGGTTTGTTTTCAAATTGCTAATATGGTTGATGCTATGTTCCAAAATCTACTCTTCAACTTGTAAACGTTCTACTGTCATGAGTGCTACGCTCCAAGATCTTTTCTGCAATGTTTTAATGTCACGGATGCTACGTTCCAGGATCTTCTCCTGAATGTTCCAACACTACTGGTTCTCCGCTCCAAGATCGTGTCTTCACTCTACCATCACTAGCATAGGTTTCTTCAGCCGCCATCCTTAAGCGGTGAATTTGAACATTGGACGCGTGAGAATACCCGCCAGACGAACCACACCTTGAACACCTCAGATTGCAAAGACACAGGGCTGCGATACGCTGCTGTTGGACAAGTTTGCGATTGCATACCAAATTGCAAGTGGGTTGTTTCACGGCCCCCCCGTTGAACGTGGTTTTCTGTTGCAGAAATAAAGAAAGAAACCGGTCACTTCACCGAGCGGCTTAGACATCCTCAAGACCAGTCCTTTGGGCTTTCCGTCCGAGCTGGAGGTTGTGGGTCTCATCTCCGTGCCACTAGGGCCACTAGGGCCACTAGGGCCACTAGGGCCACTAGGGCCACGATGTTGGGTCTGTGCCATCCTTGAGGTTTTGCCACTTTGCCATTGTGCCATTTTGCCAAGTTGTTTTCTCATACTAGCAGTGGCCTTTTTTTTTTAAGACTTTGCGGTGCCTGTGTGCGCATGTTTATGTCTTTGATCTTGCTGGGAATCTGGGTTCGATGCTTTCGTAGGACACGCTTCCCAACGTCCTTTTACTTCCCCAACATATGGTGTCGACAACGTTTCTTTCGTGATATCTTCCAGCAACCCAGCAGACAGCGCATTTTTTCCAAAATGCTCTGCGCAAGCCATCGTTTGGATACCTTTGATCCATTTGTCGCTTGCTCAAGCCTCGGTACTTGGAGGTACTTGGATCCCAAGGCGGTGTGCTGCATGGACAGGGACTGGGGCCATGGCAAGTTTGTCCGAATCTGAGAATGTTCAGCTTGTCGTCAATGCCCATGATGACGTACTGGCTTGCATCATTTACCTGGACTTTGCGGGGCTTTGCTATCCCATTCGCACCTATTTCTCCCAAGATATCCCAAGATCCAAGGAACCAAACGAACCCCTACCAATGCGAGCCTGACACAGAGACCCAGCTTTGAGCTTGTGTTCGAAGTAGCTGCGGTCCTGTTTTTGATAGCACTTTGAGATGGAAACATAGGAAGTGGACACGCACATCATCAGATAGCAATGTGAGTGTGGGATTTTGTCAACTCCTATAGCCCCCAAGAGAAAAAAAAATGAAAAAAATAGTAATAAAGCTAGGCGACAGTCTCTCTCTTGTTCATGATGACCACATGTGCCCTTTGCCATGTCCGACGTGCCTGGGTGTAGTTGAAGATGTACTCTTTCAAGGGCTGCTTGTAGGATGACCTCCCACGTGCTGCTTCAGCAGAGCAGGCTGCAGAGTTCGGGGGGAGAAGCTCCAGTTCGTTCTGGGTGACTCACCAAATGGCGTGGTCTGCCATTTTTGCCGCATGGTTCTCCGGCACAAAGGACCACTGTTGAAACTCCTGCCAGGAGCAGCAACACCAAGTAAGCCAAGTAAGGAAGTAGCGGAATCTTGGTTGATTTTTTGCTCAAAATTCTGCAGCTCCTCAGTCTGAAAAAAGTGAAGGATCCTCTTCAGGTCAGACCAAGACAAGGAGGGTCTTCTCTGGAAGAGCCTATCAAGTGTCGACAAGATGTCTATTTCTTTATCATGTCTCGGGCTCGAATTCGCTGCGATGTTGCCTTCAAACAGTGTTCTACACTCGCCGCAAGGGGATTCCAACAGCGGGAAAGGAAAGAATCTCTCTGCGGGTTTGCCTTCATATCTGAGTAGCAGCACATGCAAGTTAATCTTCATCTCGGATCAAGAAACGGTATCTAGACAAAGTACGCCAACTTCCCTGAACTGATAAGTAAGTAGTCCAACTTCTTTGGCGGAATGCAGTCTCAATTACCCAAAGCTTTCCCCAAAAGCTTTACAGTCATTCAATAGTTGGGTACAGTACAGTACATGTTGGGAGTCCCTGGCGTCCGTACTGTGTTCGGAGGTAAAATTGCAGGATTCATGTGTAGCTGTTGAGAAACTACAGCGAGCGGGCGACCTCCTCCGTTCTCCCAACAGGAAAATTAAGAGAAGGGTTTGCCCTCTAGGGATCCAAGTCTGCGATAGTTCCGTGCAGACTCGCCAACACGCCTCAAACACACCGTCTGCCATTTGCATGCCACATTGAGCCACCAAAGCCTCACATCGGCTGTGGTGCTTTCTGGCTTGGAGGGTAATCCTGCAGTCAAGGAACAAATCAAAGGTCGTCACAACAGGGAGTGGACACCGCTCCACAAAGGGCCTTGGTCCAATTGGTGCGCTAAACGCATGTGGCAACGAAGCCCAAGGGTTTTCTCTTCAAATCTGAATTGAATTTCCAAATAGTTCTATGATGTTTTATGCACAAAGCTGCACCGGCTTTGATCATGAGATTCACTAGCACAGAAGAAATTCAAGGTGCTACCAAGCAACAAGAACCAAGCGAGCCAGTATTCTTTGAGCTCTGGCCTGGATGCGTGGCATGCTTCGATCCGAGCGCACACAAACACACCATATTCCCATTGCATCCAATTGCCTGATGACACCCATGTCCAGGAGACACGGCAAGAGTGTGTCCTGGAGCACTGCAGCCCAACTCTGAGTCAATGCATCAAGCAGGGCTACAAACCGTCCTGCCATGGAGCATCCAAACCCAACTCAAAGATGGCACGAAGCTCAGATTTCACAAAGGCAGCCTGGCACCAAGCGGGCAGAAAGATTCCCGCCTGGCTATTGAAAGCCTATGAATGAGGGAATTGCGCATCCGGTCGCAAGCTTCGTGCAACACAAAAAGCGCAACAGTATGAGTCCTCTGCAAACACACTGGTAAATGGCTTCTAAGTCAAGCAGTGAGGCAAAATATGGCAAAATCGATTTCTTTAAAGGAGGTAAGCCGGAAGTAGCATGCCATGAACCATCCACATCACTCATACGTGTTGCACAGCCTCTAAAAGCTGCGATCCAAAGATTTGATCGCCACATTCTCCTGTGACGGTCAAGCGAGATGCTGGTCCCTCCCATAGCGCAGTCACTTCCTGGCGCAATTTCTCAAACATGTGACAAACCAGACCTGAACCATCGGAACCAGGTCAGAAAAACATCAGAAAACTGAAATCTCCAATCTGACCGGCCCCCCCTGCACCGCGAGGCCACAAGCTATGACAATTGATCCGGAGACCATTCAAGACAAGGATGAAAGGATGAGGATGATGAGAATTGATCTTATGAATCGATATCGATCAATATCGATCACCTCTCAAACACAATATCTCCTCCGAATCAGCGAGGGGCTCCAGACATATGCCACCCAGTTCCGCCAACTTCAGCAAGACATTCTCGTGGAACCTATGAATGACATGAAAGAGACATTTAAAAAAAATACCTTAGCTGATGTTAGCTGTGTCAACAGCAGGTTGGGTTCTAAAGTGCTGGGTTTTCGAGGCCAACAAGAAACCGCCACTCCCGCCAGAGATTCCCAACAGTCACTGTCTTAGGTCAGCGCCAGGGATACTCCGCGATGGAGTCTGCACTGCAGCGCACAATCAATTCGTTGGCTCCTGCTTTTGCATTTGCGGAGGGTCAAAAACAAGACAAGCGCATCCACGAACAGATGGCAAAAATGGATGACCCACATTAAAACTCGTGACTCGTGAGATCTACCAACTCCCGTCCTTGCTCCAAGGCACTCTCTCGGAGTGGGCTCCAGTGAGGGTGTAGTGCTTGCAAAAGTGCAATCAGAAGCGAGGTTGAATCGATTCCTGGAACTGAGGGAGGTCCAGCTTCGATGACTTTCAAACAACTGCAAACCTGCCAAATTTTCAAATGGCGGTTGCCCCCCCATTGCAATACTCCCCGGTGGCCTCGCTCCAGAGAACCTCCAACTTGCAATTGCTGGAGCGCGCCAAGGCAAGAAGCGAATGCGCCCGCTCGTCCATGATCTGAGGGCATTGCAAATGTTGTCTCATTATTCTTGTTATTCTTATTGCTACTCCGAAAATCCGCGACACCATGTGCTATTCTGGACTTCCGAATCCTCTCACTGGACTTATTTTGTGGTGTGCCCGTTGCGATGTCTCCCAACCACAGAGCCGGGCCCAATGGCAGCTGAGTTGCCGTGGCCAAATCTTTACAAAATGAAGGATCTTTCTTTGGAAGAGGATCCAGGACCGCAAGGCCGAGGCAGCAATCCTCGCGAAGCTGGAAAAAAAAACTGCGTCTTGATGTCTTCCTGAAAAGAACTAAGATGATCAAAGATGATCAAAGGAAATCTCAACTCTCAGCGGCTCAGTGTTGCAATTTGACCACCTGGACTGACAAACAAAGACCGCAAGCGATCGAAAGGCTTTCCTTGGATTATGTGGCCGGCTGACAGCAAGTCACCAAAAGAGACTGGAAGTTTGCTCTATCAAGAGCAACCCACAACTGGTCCTGGTTCAGCACACCAGTGCGGTCGATCAGCGGCGTGCGAAAAAAGGCCGAAAGGCCGATGAGGAAATCTTCTTGGATCATTTCAGGCAGCAAACTCGCCGGAGGCCGGGCCAACGTCTGTCTTGGTGAAAGGTAACATGCCAACAAAGGCGCCCACATGATCAATCCACCTCCCAGTTCATGTACCCCAACAGCCGCAACATCTGAACCCTCATCCCTCTCACTCAGCACTGCTTCAAACTCTGCGGCAATGGATTCATCACGTTTCCTCCATCTGTCACCTAGACTGCGATTCACCAGTGTTCGCATCGAAGACTCTTGGTTCGCCTCCGTTTGATAGATTTCTCGCTAGTGATGCTGGCACTGGTCCGAGGTACGAATGATACCTCGCTCTTCGAGATGCTCCTTGACTGCATCCCAGCCAAGGTAACCCACCTTCTTGACCATCATCACCAGGGCTTCTGTCTCACACGCTTCCCACGGACAGCACAGAGATATTTGTACACTTTCCAACATCCAAGGGTCACTGATCCGTCGGCAAAGCCTTTCCGGATTCAATTTCAAACATCTTTCCCCATCTGCAAGGCTTTGGAGGGGACGGTCTGAGAGCACTTGCTGTACCATTTGCTTGTGGGGGCCGCAAACCAGGCGACCACACATCAAGCAAGTGGGATGCAGGCTCTTGCTTGGCGAAGGCCAATGGCCAGAAGACCACATAATGTCCTGGAGCACAGCTTGGGCCCCGTTTGGGCAAGCGAGTTTCAGCGGGTTGAAAGCTGATTGCAGATTCTCAAGAGACAGGAACCACACCCACACCCTTTCTGCTAAACAAATGCCTGTTGGATCCTGGGTTTCATGAGTCGAGTCATGCTTTGAGCCAAGCATCCAGGATATCATCTAGTTTGGCCTTCTCAAGTTCTGCACAGCTGGCCTTCACGTGCGCGATTAGGTCACCTCGGTTTTTCGGCGAAGTACATCTCTGCTGCCAAAAAATCGACGCCGACGCTGCGGGTCAAGCAGCTGTGGCGATTCAGGTGGAGAATCTTCTTGGAGAAGCCCGAGGCATTGTGAAGGACCACAATGCTGCTTGGACAACTTAGAACCTGCAAGGCTGGCTTTACAAATATTAGCCACATTTCCACCAAATGAGAACTTATCTGCTACATGCTGCTATATTGAAGTTGATTCTAACAAAGGTCTGGAACCTCTCCGTGCCTGATTGTTTTGGTCAAGGATTGTAGATTCCACCACATCATCACAGACGTCCTCAAAGTGAGCTTTCACGTAATCCAGAAAGTCGGTGCTGCTGCCTCGGAGAAGGCTCCAAAATCCAAAGCTCTGAGAATGTTCTAGCTGGCTCCTCACAATCTGCATACCTAGACCTAGATTGCCTTCTGCAAATTGACTGGGCAGCTGACAAGGCTTTCTCTGGCGTTGGCTGTGCTCAAATACGGCTCGCAGGGCGGTGAAGAGAGTCATCCATCCAAAGCTTCCCGGACAACAATTCAACAGGTTGCGTGACCACTATGTGAAAGAAACTAATGTTCTGTGAGGCTGTGAGGAAAAAGTAATGATGGAGCTTAGAGTCACTGGGGTGCCTTGTTACGAGTGTAAGAGAATATGTGACCTGCAACTGTTGCACCTTGAGAAAGAGCCAGTTTTGTTCCCAGTTCCATGAAGGCCGCCCGCTTTCAATTTACTGCGCCCAAGATGTTTCCTCTCAAAAGAAGACAAATATAAACAAGTGATACAAATGCTATCCAGTGATTTCCCATTCGCTCCTTCTTCCCTTTTTGCAGCTGCCTCACGGGCATGGAAAACAGTCAAGCTGCCACTCTCATCGGTAGTTGCCGTTGTTGATGCGGTCAATGAAGTATGCAGGGTTGGCTGGCAGGCAAACCAAGTTGCCCTCGTACTTCTTCACGATGTTCTTCAGCTTGTCCTCCATGCCTGGGATGTTGTAGATGTCAGAGACCTGCTTGTAAGGGCCATGAGTGCCAATCATACCAGCAATGGTCGGGAACATTCCCGGGAATTGCCTGTAGGCCTGGATGTTGGCATTGTTGATGTCCACCTTGTCGCTTCCACCCAGGTACTGGATGTTGTCATAGTCAACCATGGCGTTTGCTGCTGGGGCCATGGCAACAGCAGAGGCTGCTGCCACGGAGGCAATCTGCTGCTTACGCGAGTTCAGCCATCCCAGCACTGCACCAACGCCAAAGCCAGCAGTCAAGATGCTGAAGACGCCCTCCGACTGGCTAGGCTCCTCCAAGTCCAGCTGCTCAAGTTGCACCTGAGATGCAGGCAGCTGTACGCTCTGTGGCGAGGCTGCACCCGCTCTGGGGGCCACGTAGGCGGAGGCCGGGATGGCCAGAAGCGCAGCGGCAAGCAGGACACGGGCCATGGCTATCTCTTGCTGATGGCACACAGATGAGCACACAACTGCTCTTGATCAAAAAGTCTTTGGGAAAATGTATCACAATGTTTGATTCCACTGGATGCACTATCATTAACAGATTAAACATGGAAAGCCACTGTGAAAGGTATGATTCATGCCTGGGTTCACGAAAATCGATTAAATCCCGGTTCAATCTCTTCAATTATACTAATACTAAAGAATGCAGTGTCCCTTGCTGCCATTTGACTTCAATACCAAACAAAAAGCTGCTCTTAGCCTCATCAAATCAGCAACATCAGCTTGCCAGACAGAGTATTTTGAACCGAAGCTGGTTCTGCAAGCGCTGAGTGAAGTCTTTAGGTTTGGACAACCCAAGATTAAAAAGCTTCATCGGTAGTTGCCGTTGTTGATGCGGTCAATGAAGTACGCAGGGTTGGCTGGCAGGCAAACCAAGTTGCCCTCGTACTTCTTCACAATGTTCTTCAGCTTGTCCTCCATGCCTGGGATGTTGTAGATGTCAGAGACCTGCTTGTAAGGGCCATGAGTGCCAATCATACCAGCAATGGTCGGGAACATTCCCGGGAATTGCCTGTAGGCCTGGATGTTGGCATTGTTGATGTCCACCTTGTCGCTTCCACCCAGGTACTGGATGTTGTCATAGTCAACCATGGCGTTTGCTGCTGGGGCCATGGCAACAGCAGAGGCTGCTGCCACGGAGGCAATCTGCTGCTTACGCGAGTTCAGCCATCCCAGCACTGCACCAACGCCAAAGCCAGCAGTCAAGATGCTGAAGACGCCCTCCGACTGGCTAGGCTCCTCCAAGTCCAGCTGCTCAAGCTGCACCTGAGATGCGGGCAGCTGTACGCTCTGTGGCGAGGCTGCACCTGCTCTGGGGGCCACGTAGGCGGAGGCCGGGATGGCCAGAAGCGCAGCGGCAAGCAGGACACGAGCCATGACAACAGGGTAGGACGTGCAACTTCGGGCTTGCACCAAAAAAGCTTTGGTTGTTTGATCAAATCCCAGGTGAAGAATCAAATCAGAAGTTTCGCAGTGATTCCCATGGGAGTCATGGGAGAGACGCTAAAATGAGCCCTTTCATGGCAAAGGAGTCCTTCGAACTTTCAATACAATCTTCCATTCTTACAGGAAGCTCCACATGTCTAGAAACATCTAGAAACCATGGGTTGTTGAGGAATAAAAGGGATGATAAAGTGTGCAATAGGAACCATATGACAGGAATAACTCAACAACAGCGGCGGCGGCAACAGCAACAAGAAGAGGCACAGGAACCACAGCAACAAAGGCGAATCCAAAAACGGCAATCGCAAAGATAACAACGCAATGCGAAGCAAGCGAGAAGACAACCGGGCAATCAAGCCGACAAACAACCAACGGAAAGAATTAGCAGCGGAAAAAAATCATCAGTCACGAAGTTGGTGTATTCACACGCTCTGTTCACACCGTGCCGCAGCATGCGCACGGATGCTGTGAACTCCATCTTATCTTGTGCACATCCAACTGCAGCAATTATATGTCTATTATGAGTATGTATATATATTATATATATTATTATATTATGTATTATGTAATATTATATACATATACATACGGAAATGCAAAATGTGAAGTCGTCTGAGTCAGTTTTATCAACTCTTCTTTCAATTGACAACCTTCTATACTTGTGCCAACCTAGCACTCGAAAATGGACGCCAGAGTCCGTAGAAACAACATATTTTCCTGCGCACGCGTCCCAATTTAGTTTGAAAAAACTGTTTGGACGGCATCTCATCGGTAGTTGCCGTTGTTGATGCGGTCAATGAAGTACGCAGGGTTGGCTGGCAGGCAAACCAAGTTGCCTTCGTACTTCTTCACAATGTTCTTCAGCTTGTCCTCCATGCCTGGGATGTTGTAAATGTCAGAGACCTGCTTGTAAGGGCCATGAGTGCCAATCATACCAGCAATGGTCGGGAACATTCCCGGGAATTGCCTGTAGGCCTGGATGTTGGCATTGTTGATGTCCACCTTGTCGCTTCCACCCAGGTACTGGATGTTGTCATAGTCAACCATGGCGTTTGCTGCTGGGGCCATGGCAACAGCAGAGGCTGCTGCCACGGAGGCAATCTGCTGCTTACGCGAGTTCAGCCATCCCAGCACTGCACCAACGCCAAAGCCAGCAGTCAAGATGCTGAAGACGCCCTCCGACTGGCTAGGCTCCTCCAAGTCCAGCTGCTCAAGCTGCACCTGAGATGCGGGCAGCTGTACGCTCTGTGGCGAGGCTGCACCTGCTCTGGGGGCCACGTAGGCGGAGGCCGGGATGGCCAGAAGCGCTGCGGCAAGCAGGACACGAGCCATGGCTATCTCTTGCTGATGGCACACAGCAGCAACTGATTGAGCATGCGAAGCAGCAAGATTTGATAGGTCAAGGCAGGTCTGTGAAATGCAAACATTGGGACAAGCTGATAGATTGTATCCCCATTTTGGTGGGGTGAATGAATGACAACAATGTCAAGACAATTCAATATTTGTTGTGTGGGTATGTCTACATGGATGTATGTGTGTGTGTGTGAATGTGCGTGGTTGTGTGTGTGTATGCGCGTACAAATTGACCCCAATGGTGCAGTCTACGCATAGGTCTCTGCACGTTTTGCTTCTGGAAGTCTTTGAACTCTTCAAACCCAAAACAATAGTGCAGTATTTACAGTGGAATGTGTAGGATGTGAGCATGTGTATGCCCAGATTGTGCAAAGCACAATCTAAGTGTGATCAAGTGTGTATGTATACCACATATTTGGATTTGTAATCGTACGAAAGATACTCTGCTAAAGTTTCGTCTGCGTTTCTCATCCAGCAACTGGTATTAAGGAACCAAGGTCTGTTAGCCACTTTGAAGACAACACATGAGTTCGCCAATGCCTTGCGAACAATGAATGGCTGCCAGCATCATGCCCCAACAACGTGCCTTTTTGAACTGGTTTCTGCCTTGCTCACGAGAGCCTGAGGCATCTCCAGTCTGTTGATTTAGAAAAGAGTTTCATCGGTAGTTGCCGTTGTTGATGCGGTCAATGAAGTACGCAGGGTTGGCTGGCAGGCAAACCAAGTTGCCCTCGTACTTCTTCACGATGTTCTTCAGCTTGTCCTCCATGCCTGGGATGTTGTAAATGTCAGAGACCTGCTTGTAGGGGCCATGAGTGCCAATCATACCAGCAATGGTCGGGAACATTCCCGGGAATTGCCTGTAGGCCTGGATGTTGGCATTGTTGATGTCCACCTTGTCGCTTCCACCCAGGTACTGGATGATGTCATAGTCAACCATGGCGTTTGCTGCTGGGGCCATAGCAACAGCAGAGGCTGCTGCCACGGAGGCAATCTGCTGCTTACGCGAGTTCAGCCATCCCAGCACTGCACCAACGCCAAAGCCAGCAGTCAAGATGCTGAAGACGCCCTCCGACTGGCTAGGCTCCTCCAAGTCCAGCTGCTCAAGCTGCACCTGAGATGCGGGCAGCTGTACGCTCTGTGGCGAGGCTGCACCTGCTCTGGGGGCCACGTAGGCGGAGGTCGGGATGGCCAGAAGCGCTGCGGCAAGCAGGACACGGGCCATGGCTATCTCTTGCTGACAGCAGCGAAGCAAAGACTGGCCCTTGATCAAAAAGTCTGGGGTTCATATGAATTGCGAATGACATTCACATACATCAATACAAGAGCTAGGTGCGCCGCTGCGGAGCTACAGGCCACTAAGCACCCTTTTTAGGTCAGTCACTGTCCTTTGGCCCAACTGAATGTCGACCATCTAGATAGGTGACTGTGTGCAGACATTCCCTCTTTGGGAGAAACTGAAAATTTAAACATTTGATCGAACTGAAATTGGAAAGTTCAGCCGGTTGTGAAAGAAGCAAGCTTGGATGGAACTTGGCTGAATTTAAAAGCTGTGCAAGGCTGCTTTGGCAGCCGCAGAAAACGTTGATTCTGCCAATTTTGCTTTAGCAGCTCCATGTTCTAGAGTCACCAAGAAACGGTCTGCCTCTGACTCTATTGACTCTCACTTCATCCAGCAAAGACTTCTCCGGAAAGTGGCTCATCCAAACCATTAGAACATCATGTTGCCTCAATTACAAACAATCTGGCATTTCCAAAAGGCAGTTTTTACACAATTGAACCAAGGCTTAGGCTGTAGTTGCGTGTCGGCGCCGCTGCCTGATAAAGGCCAAACCAATCACATTGGAGTGCCAGTCTAAACCACTCGGTCAAAACTTGAAAAAGAATGAAAGTGAGATATGAAAAAACATGAGGCTGCAAACCTCACAGAATCTCTGCAAAAACATCATGCACAAATCCCATGATTCTCAAAACTTCAATCGTGGATTCTTGTCAGAAAAGGCATGTCCAGCCTCTTGCTTCGGCTTTTTCAACTTCCGAGCACTTTGTGGTGGCGCTTGAGTTCTGCGCAAGGAAACGTTTCGGTAAATGCAAAGAGGGTCAGAACCAGAACGTACTGTGGTGAAGATCAAAATATATCAAAATAGTGCCTGAAATCTTGTAAATATTCTGATATGGATGTTCATTATTGGTCCTTTTCAGCTCCGTCTTGTAGAACTCCTTCAGCTTCCCAGTCCTTGGCCAGCCAAATGGCTCCAAATCCAGATTTCAACTGATCTCGTTTATCCAAGAATAAGGGATACCATGGCAACTTTCAACATTGAATGGATAGTTCATGGATATTTCATCAATTTAATCGATAAATGTATGGCAATTTTCTTGGAAAATGATGATCAGCCTTGAAAAAGCCTGGGATATCTGGGATTCCGGTGTTCTCATTTTCAGATGGACCAGCAACGACCATCAACGACCAAGGTGCCCGACGCTCCAATTCTCACTGAGACCTGGGGGGCTCTTCCACTGGCTGCGAGGTGAAGTTTTTCGACCTGACCCTGCGAGCCATGATGAGCCATGCGGGCCATGCGAGCCATGAAAAAAACCAGGAAATTGTGCCATGAAAGCTGCGAGATTCTCCGAAATCAAGGGTAAAACATGGGTAAAACATGGGACATTTATGGAAAATTGATGAAAATTTTATACCGCTTAATGGCATCCCCTTTTTTCGACCGAAGTCCGAGACTCATCCGGCGGCCACATGTGCAAATGTCCCGCGCCTTGAGACCGTGCCTGTCAGCCCAGGCATGATGTGAATCATGTGGCAACCACGGGCTGCAGATTGCTAAGGCCCAGACCATGGAGGATCTGCAAGAACCACGACCCAGTCACCAACATCTGGCAACAGCTTGTGTCACAGAGCGGTGCATGCTTCAAAGTTTGGTCAGAAATCAAGAGTGTACTTGGAAAGCTACAGGAAAAATAATGAGTTTCTGCATGGAGATCAAGAGAACCTGGAGTTGCTATGGTTGTTCAAGGACAAGGCTTCGCAAATTCATTCCGAAATGGCTTTCAAGGTAGAAAGGTTTTGAAGAAAATTGACACTTGTCGAAAACTGCAGATCACCATTGGTTGTCATGGGGATTTAACCGACCCCAGGGCTGACCCCAATGATGGCTGATTAAGATTCGCCCGCCCAAGACATAACCCCAAAAATTCTTGGCAGGCCAATGACCTCTGTTGAATCCCCATGGAGAAACAGGATAAAAAGATCAATTGCAGATCAAACAGGTTTTGAAGGATAAACAGGATGGCTTTGCTGAGAGGATCTCGGATACCCATCCTTGGACGTGGACAGACGTGGACACGCCCAACGCTTGTTTCGCTGCACTGCCACTGGGCCACGACCCGTTTCGTAAGAAACTAAGCTCCCGTCGTCCCTGGGATACTCGACCTGGCACAACTGGCCCCACACAGCCATGAGATGCGAAATGACTGCCACCCCTGGGAAGAATAGCTATATTTACAGACTATAACTATCAAATACTATAATATAAAGTATATTCAATTGTAACAACAACATACAAATACATACAATAAGTATATATGAGATGATATATAGTTATGTACACAAAACTGATTATTCCAGACACATCCAAAAGGTCTCTCCACCACGTAATCAGCCAGAGAGACTTTTCCTCTGCTCTCTCCTGGTCCTGCGCCATTTTACGGCCGTTTTATGGTAATTGTACGTATAGTTGTCTGAGAATCCTGCTAAGTGGATCTAATTCTTTGTTTGTCCCAGTCTAGTGTCGTTGTTACTAGTTCTTTATCATCTTGGATTGTCGTGACACAACCTCAATTTTGAAAATGCGTGTGGTACGTATCATGGCAAATTTAAACCCTGGAGGTTGCGATGTCCCCCCTGTGCACCGACATCAGTCCGTGGGCGCTTTGAATTCAACTCGCAAATCCTGGCACTTTCTGGCTTGGAAGAATACTACAAATGCACTGAAATGCTGAAAGCCGCAGTCGAAATCATTCAGTATCCTTTGCAAATTTCGATCACAGAAGTCAGCCATGAGTTGGACGCTGGCCAACTGCCACATTTTATGCACTGCTCTATTCGTATGACGTAGATCCAGGTCCTGAACGCTCCAACACCAATTCCCTGCCTCCAATGCATCGCCCACAATTCGAAGCCGGGAACCACCCTTCTGGGCCTCCTTCGGACATTTTAACATGAGAAAGAGATGAATAAATTGAATAAATATGAATATGAATAAATCATATATCAGGAAATGTCATCAGAAAGTCAGAAATCCAAGTATGCAACTTCTAGCTCCTCTTGCCCAAAAAGAGAAAGCATTTTCTCAGGTTGACACGCAAAAAAGACGCCTTGCGAATTAACCACCAGATTTCTGCTTATACGTTTGCTTGCCAATTCTGCATGGCTCCGTTGAAGACTTTTGGCATGTGCATTTAAACTCTGGCTGCAAGGTTACCTTGTGGACTACCTTGATCCAATCTAGCTTATGTGATCTTATATGACTGTATGTCAACTACGAGTAGGAAGTGGAAGAACGAATTGAATCTGAGTTTGAATTGAATCTCGAGGAGTGTTTGAGTTGTGAAGGCTCTGCGTAGGATATCTCAGGAAGGACATGGCCCCAGAGCCCCAAGAAGCTCCGTCTTCAGGCGCAGAACTGCATCCTGGCAATCTGCTTTGCAAACCTTGAAAATTTTTTCTTTGACTCCCAAAAAGCAACACGAAGTTGGTTGCTTGTGTTGCATGCCCCTGACTTGGTCATATTGACCAAACTTCTTGAACATCCATTTTGTGGGTTGATCTTTTCGGCTACGGCATGCTACAACCAGACTGGGAAAAATATGAAACAAGATGCAGCCCACGAACCCGAATGCTCACACGTATGTTAATGGTACCGATGTCGAAACACATGGATACGCAGTCACGCGGAACACTTTTCTGAAACGGTTTATTCGAACAGTCTTGTACATTTTTCCCCTGTTACCATACCAGTGCACCGTAGACTGTGGAATATTGAAGAAGGTGGCGTGCTAAGTGTGGAGTGAGGAGTGAGGAGTGTAAAATGTAAAGTGTAAAGTGTGGAGTGCAGAGTGTCAAGTGCAGAGTTTGGAGTGTAAAGTGTGGAGTCCGGAGTGTGGAGTGTAAAGTGTAGAGTGTGGAGTGTAAAGTAAGGAGTGTGGAGTGTACTTGGGGTATCTTACCTTCAGTGAATATCATTTAGAAATAACATATAATGTCGGGATGATATGCAGTAAATAAATAAATACAATCTCTATATATATATATATGATTGAATATAAAACAGTGGCGAGCAAAATGACCTGGTAAAAAACATCTGCGACCCCCTGCGCTTGAAGCAACGGCTTGAAGCGATGCACTCAGAACAGATTCAGATGTAGTAGCTATGCATCATCTCAGGCGGAAGCACGGCTTTTACAGACAGCAAACTTTGACACCGAAATATGCATACGGTCTGGAAGTTGGCAACACAAAAAAAGAACAGGCGAGTTTTTGGAAAAATCCGGCGGCTGAAACTCTGAGACTGCTGAGTGGAATGGCAGCTCGGCTCATTACACGCGGCCAGGCGACAATCAGCCTCTGAGCGCAAATCATCAGGCAGCTCATGCTTCTGAACCTGGGAAACAATGGAAAGCTGCAACCCTGCTCCACATGTGTGCTTGCTAGTTTCTTCATCTGGAAATTTGTTACAAAAAGTGTACGCATTCCAGCAATAACTTGTGATGCCCAAATGTGTTTTGGAACACTGCCATCAACCCACAACTTGTGAACCACTGCCATCAACCCACAACTTCCCCCGATCCATTTGGAGGGGACAGAGGCAAAGCGTTCAAGTTTCTCCACTCATCTGCAAGAAGTCGAAAAAAAAAATCTCCAAATCGATTGAATACCCTGATGTCAATTTTTGGTTGATTTGGCATGCGAGCTGCGGTGTCGTGTGGTGCAGCGTAGGGTAGTTGTAGTCGATGTTTTGACAAAGTTTCTGACATACCATGTGGGGGTATATGTGGAAATAATATACATATATATATATATATATCAGCTCTAGCTGACATTCTTTCTAGCTTGTATTCTGAGATCGTGTCTGGCATTATGTGGCATTTATTCTGGCATACTTTCTCGCATGTATACCGACATTGTCTCTTGCATGCGCTCGCAGTTGAGATCCGCGGCTGCCAAGCCAAATCAGCTATATGTGGAAATAGTATACATATATATATATATCAGCTCTAGCTGACATTCTTTCTAGCTTGTATTCTGAGATCGTGTCTGGCATTATGTGGCATTTATTCTGGCATACTTTCTCGCATGTATACCGACATTGTCTCTTGCATGCGTAGCAGTTGAAGATCCGCGGCTGCCAGCCAAATCAGCAATCAAGCCGCAGGGTGGCAATCAAGCCGCGGGGTGGCAGTCAAGCCGCGGGGTGCAATCAGCCGCAGGGTGGCAGTCAAGCCGCGAGGTGCAGTCAAGCCACGGGTGAGGGTGGCAATCAAGCCGCGGGGTGGCAGTGAACCCGGGTGGAGGTAATCAGTCGCGGGGGGGTGGTCAGTGAAAAGTACCCGTGTTGGGGGTGGCAATCAAGCCCGGGGTGGCAAAATGAAGCCGCAGGTGGTGGGGCAATCAAGCCGCGGGGTGGCAGTGAACCGCGGGTGGGGGTGGCAAATCAAGCCGCGGGTGGCAGTGAAGCCACGGGGGGGTGGCAATCAAGCCGCGGGGTGGCAGTGAAGCCGCGGGTGGGGGTGGCAATCAAGCCGCGGGGTGGCAGTCAAGCCGCGGGGTGGCAATCAAGCCGCAGGGTGGCAGTGAAGCCGCGAGGTGGCAGTGAAGCCCAAGCCGCGGGGTGGCAGTCAAGCTGCGGGTGGGGGGTGGCAATCAAGCCGCGGGGTGGCAGTCAAGCCGCGGGGTGGCAATCAAGCCGCAAGGTGGCAGTCAAGCCGCGAGGTGGCAGTGAAGCCACGGGTGGGGGTGCCAATCAAGCCGCGGGGTGGCAATGAAGCCGTGGCAATCAAGTCGCGGGGTGGCAATCAAGCCGCGAGGTGGCAGTGAAGCCACGGGTGGGGGTGCCAATCAAGCCGCGGGTGGGGGTGGCAATCAAGCCGCGGGGTGGCAGTCAAGCCGCAGATGGCAATCAAGCCGCAGGGGGTGGCAATCAAGCCGCGGGGTGGCGTGAAGCCGCGGGTGGGGTGGCAATCAGCCGCGGGGGGGCAATCAAGCCGCGGGGTGGCAATCAAGCCGCGGGGGGCAATCAAGCCGCAGGGTGGCAGTTAAGCCGCGGGGTCAGTGAAGCCGGGGGGTGGCAATCAAGCCGCGGGGTGGCAGTCAAGCCGCGGGGTGGCAATCAAGCCGCAAGGTGGCAGTCAAGCCGCGAGGTGGCAGTGAAGCCACGGGTGGGGGTGCCAATCAAGCCGCGGGGTGGCAATGAAGCCGTGGCAATCAAGTCGCGGGGTGGCAGTTAAGCCGCGAGGTGGCAGTGAAGCCACGGGTGGGGGTGGCAATCAAGCCGCGGGGTGGCAATCAAGCCGCGGGGTGGCAATGAAGCCGCGGGTGGGGGTGGCAATCAAGCTGCGGGGCGGCAAGGTGCAAATGTTCATCTAAGAAAACCTGATATCAGGGCTTATCAGGGGTATCCACACATGATTTACTGGCATTTAGAATTTCATAGAAGGGTTAAACTCCAGTGGCTTCGATCTACTCGTTTCCATGGTTGCATATGGTGATTGGTAGCGTGGCAATTAGCATTGATTCGTCCGGAAATTACTCATCTGATCTTAAACAGATCACCAATTCTTGCAGTATAGGAACAACCGAGTGAAGCGACATCAATGTTGGGCACACGTGTTTGTAGTTCAAGGTTTGACAAGCTAACCCACTCAGACGCTGTCCCCGCAGCCGAACAACGAGTCACTCTGGACTGCAACCTTTTGAGAAATCGCCTCAGCTGACTGAGCATTTTGCGGCGACACCGCTAAGGACACTAAAGTTCAAAAATCCTCAAGGAACCATTCACCATGCTATTTCGCTGGAAGGATTGAAAGAATAACCGGATAGTTCAGTTAACCATTTCCCCGTCAGCTGGCCCTTTGCGTCATGTGTTTGGTTATCATTCTAGATCCGAACAATAAGCACAACAAAGCTCAAAACGGGTGGTAATGAAGCCGCGAGAAGAAGGGTGTCAATGAAGCCGCAAAGGTGGGTCAATGAAACCGCAAAGGGGTGGCAGTGAAGTCGCAAAAGGCAGCAATGAAGGGAGGTCGCAAAGAGGCCGACACGATTCTGGCTACAATATAGAATATTTTTGCAATGACCGCAAATAAGCTTCCACTCTGCAAACGCGGCGCGCAAACTGCAGCCAAAATTCATTTAAAGCCAGCAGAAGCTTCGACAGAATCAGTCACTCCCTGGGAAGCAAAACCGGGATACCAGCAGTGAACTTGTTGTGTAGAAAAAACACAAATCGTATATTAAAAAGAAGTACCAGACCATATAACACCTGAGGTGTTCAGGAGTGCTGAGGCAAAACAAACAATGCAACAGAAACACAAACATGCATGTCTGAACCACTACGACACAACTCAAAATGATAGCCAAGATAACTGGCATAGACTGTCTCTGCATAGCACGCAGACCCGAAATTCCAAGCAATTCATTCCAAATGCTCAACCATCGCTGTCTTGCACAAAGCCAAGGCACTGCAATGTCCATGCGGTTTTCGATTCCCACACTGCAGTATGGCACGCGTTGTACAAACTCCAGTAGCAACGCCTCTTGCCGCAGCAAACCACGGACATGTCTCAGCTGCACACAACGCAGGAAGCTCGGCAGCAGCACCGCAGCAAGAACACCAAGCAGCGTAGACAGCGGCAGCAGCATCGCGAAGCAGCAGCCGCAAGCCGCGACAAGCCGGAGCACCGCGGCAGCAACATAGCGCGTGGCGCGCCCTCGCAAGCAGTTCTGCCGCGCAAGCTTACGCCATTGCAGCGCAGGCCGGCGACCCGCCATCTTAAAAAAACGCATGCAAGACACATCCAGCACATGTTTGAATAACAATCACATCTCTACACACAAATAGCATTCAAATACCTGGCAACAATGTGTGCGAAGTCTGTCTGAGCTGAGCCCAGCCAAGATCTGTCCAATTTGCTGAAAATGTTGAAAATAGACAACTATAATTATAACATCTCAGCAACTCTTTCAACATTGCTGACAAACTTCATGCCTGAATCGGCAACACTCCCGTCCATGCGAAATTTGCTTGGGTCTCTGTCAGTAACCTTCGAACATCGGTCTTGCACTGTCTCTATCAACGCCATGTCATTAACCGTGAATGCTTGATGGCCTCTGGCAACTGAGCACAGCCAAAATGTTAGCCGACGCAGAACCGTAAATACACGAATCTGCATGAATCTACAACATCTCAGCAACCCTTTGATCATCGCAGTCTTGCATGTTTTTCCAGCTTCCCCCATAGACACGGCGACGCCACAGGAAAACGAGAGACTCGCGACAAGACACGTGGATGCAGAAAAAACAGCATTTCCTACGAGACTTCCTCCAATTTTGAAATTTGTGAACATCATCAAACAGGTTGGAATGTCAGAAAGTGCCACGTCTGCCACGCAAAACAACATGACAACCTGCTTGGAAACATTCGAAAAGGAGAGGTTTTGCAGCTTCCCCCATAGACACGGCGAAGCCACAGGAAAACCAGAGACTCGAGACAAGACACGTAGGAACATCAAAACCAGCATTTCGTGCGAGACTTCCTCCAATTTTCACAGTTTGAAAAATGCTGAAAGGACAAGTTTTGCAGCTCCCCCCATAGACACGGCGACGCCACCAGAAAACCAGAGACTCGAGACGAGACACGTGGGAGCACCAAAACGAGCATTTTCTGCGAGACTTCTTCCAATTTTCGCACTTTGTAGCTTCAAAATCGACGTTTTCCTACAAGTTTTCCTAGGAACCTCTAAATTTTGCTACCTCAAAATCGATGTTTCGTGCGAAGCTTCCGTCAATTTTCAGCACATGTCACAAAATGCCACGCCTGCCACGGAATTAGCACCTTGTCGCCATTTAACGCAGCCCTGCCAATGCAATTTGCAAAAACACACAACACGACACGTCTGAAGTGCTGCGCCTGCCACGAAAACTGCAACACATCTTCTGAAAACGTCGCAAAAGTATTGCGCTTGCCACGCAAAACGACTTTCGACACGTTGCAGAACACGTCTGAATGTCACGAAGTGCCACGCCTGCCACGCGAAACGAAGCAACGACACATTGGAAACCTCCAAAAATGACCACCTCTGCAAAACTTCCCATAGGCACGGCCATACGGAGTTCGTACGGACGGTTGCGAACGGTTGCGAACGGTTGCGGACGGTTGCGGACGGTTGCGACCACAAACGCAACGTCGAGCGAACACACCTTCAACCCCCAGACCCCCAGAGTGAAACGGGAACCCTTGCTACGCATTCGGGAAAATACAAATTGTTAGAACATGCTTGAACTCTGGCAAGCATATGATTCAAGGCTGGTTGCAAACTCTCTGTCACAACATCCAAAGCAGAGTTTTGAAGTCGAGACGCAAGCACCACCCATTGACAGCTGCAATTGCTGTCCCTAGGCCTGGAACTGCCTCTCCTTCACTTCCACCCTGGCCTGGCTCCAGGATCTGCCATGCTGTTGAACCGTCTGATGCATGTTGAAAGATTTGAAAGCTCAGAATTTTGCGATAGCCAAAGCGCCAAACCACTCCCGCCACACCTTCAGTTCTGCTTGCATCTGCCTTTGCAAGGCTTCCATCCGTTGCTTCAAGCTCACCTTCCGCTGTTTCGTGCTGTTTCGCTCGGGAAAAAAGAGACATTGTTTTGGGATGCACTTTCAACGGCGCCACTCAAACTGAGGTTTGGCTTCCAGCCTGTGGCCAAAGTGCATGCCAAGTGCGTAATAAGTGAACTTTCCCAGGTTTTTACCATTGCATTTGATTCTACTTTGATACTGGCCCAACAGCCCAACAGCCTCCATCTTTGCAATTTCCTTCTCGCGATATGCCAAGTCGCTTTCCTGTTCCATCAACAACTCATCAACTCATCAAGATACAGCAAGTGACGTTCAAAAAATATGACAGGGCATCGACTCGCATCGACTATCTAAAAATAGAAATCCCAGCCTTGGCTGCAGCATCTCCTATGGCTTTCTTTGCAATTTCCTCCCGTTCCTCTGCTTCCAATTTGGCAGCAACATAATCCTCACACAGCCAGGCGACAAAAAAATCCCCGGGTTCTGGTATTCATCAAAATTTAGCACTCAAAATTTAGCACATCACAAGTTCTTTGAAAAATGGCAAGCCGTCCCAGTTTGGGGTACCCAATTCTCCAGCCTGTTCTGCCGCGGATGCCTGGCAAACTTGCAGCACAAGCTGAGAGGGGCAAATATGTACCAGCTATTACCAGCTCATGTACTCACAAACCTGAAGACACGGGAGATTCACTGGAGATTAGCAGATTCTGGAATATCTAGCTTTCATTGCTGTATCATTCCCAGGTTTTCCAAAACTCCAAGACATCTTTGTGGCCATGAATCACAACTGTCTGTTTGGCAACTAGAATTCCCGTAGCCTGTCGCTGAAGGGCCAGCAGTTGTCTTTGGTCATCACTCAGCAACTGCTCAGCTCTCTGAACCTTGCAGCTGTGGGCAACTGCCAGCTGTGTATCTATGTTCTGGAGACCCTCAGAGTTTTGAAAACCTATTCGTGACTCATTCGTGGTTCATCTTGTTTGCAATTCTCACGCCTTACCTACTTACACGAAACTGAGAGGAGAACGATGGAAGTCGGCAAACCAAGACGCTGAGCAGTCTCAATGGCATGAGACTCTCCCACCTAAGTATGCAAAGCGGTTTGATAACAAGATATGGATATGTATAATATAATATATATATATAATATATATAGTATATCTAATATAATATATATAATATATCTAATATATATAATATATAATATATATAATATATAATAAATATATAATATATAATATATAATAAATATAATATATATATGTATAATATATAATATATATAATATATATAATATATATTATATATCTAATATATATAATATATTATTGAATTTCACGAGGTCTTGGGGTTTTGGGATTTTTAGGGTATATTGGGTTTCAAAGTCAAAATGCATCATTTCGAGCAACCTGCGCGCAGAAGGGTCGTCAGGAAAAGTGTTGAATGTTGTGATTTTTGTTGAATCAGTGGTCCACAGGTCCAACTGGCGTTCCAGAGAAACTGAAACAGTCGGAAACAGTCGGAAACAGTCGGAGCGGCCCGGCGTGATCATGCCAAAATTGTCAATCCGCCATTTTTTTGCAAAAAAAAAACTTTTCCGCGCAATCCCATTTTTTTTTTGAAAGTGCAACGGGAAACAGTTGGAAACAGTTGGGGCTCGTACCTTTGACTCGGCAAAAAAGAGCTATTTAAAACCAGTTTATAAAGAAAATGAACCTTAAAACTGGTTTTAAATAGCTCTTTTTTTGCCGAGTCAAAGGTACGAGCCCCAACTGTTTCCAACTGTTTCCCGTTGCACTTTCAAAAAAAAAATGGGATTGTGCGGAAAAGTTTTTTTTGCAAAAAAAATGGCGGATTGACAATTTTGGCATGATCACGCCGGGCCGCTCCCGACTGTTTCCGACTGTTTCCGACTGTTTCTGTTTCTGGAATGCCAGTTGGACCTGTGGACCACTGATTCAACAAAAATCACAACATTCAACACTTTTCCTGACGACCCTTCTGCGCGCAGGTTGCTCGAAATGATGCATTTTGACTTTGAAACCCAATATACCCTAAAAATCCCAAAACCCCAAGACCTCGTGAAATTCAACATAATATATATAATATATATATAATATATATAATATATATAATATATATAATATATAAAATATATAATATATATATAATATATATAATATATATAATATATATAATATATATATAATATATAATATATATAATATATATAAGATATATAAGATATATAAGATATATAATATATATAATATATATAATATATATAATATATATAATATATATAATATATATAATTTATATAATATGTAATATATATAATATATATAATATATATAATATATATAATATATATAATATATATAATATATAATATATATAATATATATAATATATATAATACATAATATATAATATATAATATATAATATATAATATATAATAAATAAAATATAATATAAAATATATAATATATAATATATAATAAATAAAATATAATATATAATATATAATATATATAATATATAAAATATATATATATTATATATATTACTTATTAAATGATATATATATATTACATTTGTTTATATTATATATATGTGTGTTTTTGCATACGTATATAAATACTCACACATGAGCAGTGGAGGGTATACAACCATCCCTCCCCAAAACGTCCCTTCTCAGTTGCTGAGGCAGCTGCCGCATTGGTTGTTAATCTGTAGGTGGGACGGCCCAACTTGTACTCCATGGCCGCAGTCATGGTTCGTTCATCCTGGCGATCCAGTCAAATCCAGTCTTTCAATTTCGATCAATTTCGATCAATGTACTATATTTGGCACTTTGCGACCAATCTCTGCACAGTGGCGCTTCTTTTTCCGCCCAGGGTGCAAAACAACACCCTTTCTCTAGGTCATCTCAGACCCAAAGCATTAGCCATCAGTCGATCCAGTGGGGGCCCAAGAACACGATATATGTTTTCCCTGGCAGGAAACCTCACGGAGAGGATGTGGTGTAACGAAACGGCGGTCAAGATTGGAGCAATCGGATTAATGCAAATGGATCGACTGCAAGTTGTGCATTATTCAAAAGCACAAAGGAATATAAAGATTAAAGTGATTAAAGTAAAGCACTTATCCATAAACTCCTCAATTTCTGCCTCATTCTAGAGGCTGATAGGTGAGTTCAACGCTCAGAAATCCGCGCGGTTTGTTCCTTTGGAAAAACCGCACGCAAAAGCATGGATGAAGGTCACCGCCGGTCAATATCCTGAGCATCATCTGAAAATCGCAACTTACTGAGTATAGACAGTATAGATGTCATTGGATGTTTTGCCATGTCTGCAACAAGGTGAACCTACGTTGTCGAGCGAAACGCATGGCAAGACAGTGTCTATCAAGATCGACATACTGTAGTTGATGCTGAGTTGCAGCAAACTTCCAAATACCAAGATATGCCAAGGTGCAAATCTTCAAAACGCACAGTTTCTGCTGAAGTTGTTTTTTCACAGTCACTGCCACTGCCCCTGCGCAAGAGCTGGCGCAAAGGAATCTCCTGAAAGCTGGCAGGGTCAAGACGCAAACAATCAGAATCAGTACAGCAAACCTATGCAAAACTGCAGTGACTGAAGTGACTGAGGTGTGGGCAACATGTCCAATGTCATCATCCTGCCATGCTTCGGGCACGCGTTCAACAAAGGTGGAACATTTTGTCAACCGTTCCTTGCTGATGGTGTCTGCATCCCAAACACGAAGCTGTAGGACATCTGCTCGAGGATTTCGCACATTCAGCATTAAGACTTCGTCCTCAGCGTCCGCAGAAGGGCCATGACTGGTCATCTAGGATTTATTTCCATCAGAGATCCCTGCTGGTACAAACACAACAAAATGCTGCACGACAACTCTCTCGCAAAGCTTCCTACAGAAAGATTTGACCTGAAACTAAAGACTGAAAGTTTTTTAGTCTCTGTAAAAGACCTTCACTTGGGCCCGGACCCAAACTGGATTTGCACAATCCTTGATGGACTTTGTTCGCATCTTCTGCTGCCCTCCCTGCAATTCCTGGTGCAAGATCCAGCATCCCCCAGGAAGTTCCAGCAAAACAAGACACAAGTTCCATCTGTTCCATATGTGCAGCGCCTGAAAAATCATCCCATCAGTCTAGTCAACGATGCAGTATGTCATGTATGTGACTGTATGTGTATATATATATATAATATCATATATCTGTGTGTGTGCTGTATATATGACACCTTAGTTAAACCCACCTACCACAGCCAAGTAGGAGGTTTACGACACCAAACGCAAGCAGCAACGGCAAGTGACTTTTACCGCAGTGCTTCAGCCACATGTAAAGGTGGCAATGCCAAAATGAGTTCTTCACAACTGGAAATACAAAGTAGCTACAAGGGATGATAAGAGGGATGCCCTACGGCTAGTTCACATGACATATCATAACTCCCCCCTCATCCCGGCTAGCAGCCCTACATTCAATTCCCGCGTGTTCTTGCTTTGCAGTCAGCACAGATTTCAAGGATGTAAATCTACGAGGCTAGTTGAATGCATAGTTGTTGCAGGGTGGTTTGCCATTCAACTCCGTTAGGGATGATCTTCGTGAATCCATTCGCCAGGTGTAACAGTATTCCAGATTGAACGTGTTGTTCTCAAGTTGCTCGCTCACACTTTGGATATTGACCTTTTGCACTCTAACAAGATGGCGCAGTTTTGCGCTGTATCCAGATCGAGTGACTGTGATTGCAGCTTTCAAATCTAACAGGGACTGCCATGTCGGTGATGTACTCGGCCATCGCATGGAGATTCAGAGCTTCTCCGAACAGCGCACTTGCAAATGCGATCAACTCAGCTTCTGTGGTTGAATGAGCGGTCGAACCTGGTTTTCTTGATGACCAGAGGATTGGGAAGTACGCTTCTCCCGTTCTGATAACATAGATTACCCCAGACGTGCTTCTGCATGTATGTGGACACGATGCAAAGTCTGAATCTGCGAAAACCAGCAGCTCAGGTTTCTCGTTGGGATCTACAGATGCCCGAAAAACATGATTCCGAGTGGAAGTGAGATAACAAATCAAACGCAAGGTTTGCCTGTCCTCCCAAGCTGTCCATTTAGAAACCCTTGTTGTTAACCGTCCAACAGCAAAACTGATGTTTGGTCTCGCCATCCGTGACAACCACAAGCACCTCATGAGAATGCGAGCAGCGTGCTTATGCAATACCCCTTCTCGCATGAAGCCTGCATCTGACATTGACAATTCAGGCAAGCACGGAGTTGGCGGCGCTGACTTCAACTTTTCTTGGAGGGTTCCGGATAACTCACAGTATAGATCTATGATACCCTGGGCGTACGATCTCATATCATAGGTCATGGTCATGGTTATTTGCTTGGGGGTTCTTGATACAGAATGAAGTCTTCCTAGAATTTTGGTTCGTTTCTCAGAGATATATTCCTCAGGTTCCAAACGCACTTTCTGTCTGAATTCTTGCCAGAATTCACGTTGGATGACAATGCTGCCACCAGCCAAGGTGCAGTCGTCGACGTACACGTTTAACAGCAAAGTGTGTTGACCGTTGTCACCTCTCCTGAACACAAAGTTACTAGGATATGACGGAAATTTGTTGCCCGCCCATACACTTCAATTGTTTCTCAAGGTGTTGCTGCCACACATGACCCGCTTGTGGGCACGCGTAAAGGCTGCAAACGAGTCTGACAGCAAGCTTTGTTTCTTTATCATATTTTTGTTTTCATGCATCTAACCACAGTTCGTTAGGCAAGATCACCCACGTCTTGCCATCCAAGTCACATTGCAGATAAGCCTGGATGCAGTCTGCACAGGACAGCGCTGTCATACATCCCACCCACAGGGTGGGGCTGAGCCCAGCGAGTGCAGTTGGCGTGGTTGCAGTGTCTTCGAAAAGGACATACTGGTGGTGTTCATCGCGGATCGCATCTCCACGGTAAACTATTCGCCCTTTGTAGCGATGATGCTCAGCAGACATTTCATGATGTTTGATGCCACATAGTGTCAACACTTCAGCGATCTTGATCTTCTCAGGAGTCATCATCCCATGTCCCATTGTCTCTCAACCCTTGTGCCTTTTTGAGCACGGCTTGAACACCTTTCTCATCCTGCAGCCATGCTGACCGCGACAAGTTCAGTGTCACTAGGGCTGATGGTGAATCTAGCTTTGGCAAGGTTTTGTGCCATTTTTGAGGATACCAAGCTTCTAGAAGTGCATTGGCAAACTCAGGCGTGTAGTATGCTGATTGGGCAGTATTCTTACCTAAGGCCTCTTCATGATCATGGTCTCCATTGCAGACATGTTGCGAAAGGAATTGGATCAATTTCAGGTCACTGGTCGATACACACCATGGCTTCTTTACATGTTTACCTTTACCTTTTCCTTTAAGGTCAGTGGACAACCATGGAAGTAAACACGTTTCATACCAGCCCTTTCTTCAAAAGCAACCAAGTGCTGATTCTTCCATAGCGCATTCTCTGCCGGCGGCTCGAATGCGGCACGACCTCCAAGCTCTAAAGCTCTCTCAAGGAATTGAATGGCATACTGAAGCAATTGTTCCGACTCCTTTTGTTTCTTTCTGAGTTTCTTGTGGTATGGTTTCCCATGCATGTGTATGTTCACGTTCTGTATAGGTGAATGATGCGTGCACATCACGGATGCCCATGCATCAGCACCTGGCAGTGCTTCAAGTTGACCAATGGCTTGTTGTACATGTTCTGGTTACACAAGTCCAATGTAGAACAGCTCAACTTGATGCACGAAACCCCAACAGCTTCAGCTTGTCCCCCATGATTGAATCTGAACATGCAAATTCGAAGAGTGTATCGTTTCTGACCAGTGTGTTCATGCGTCTGTGCTTTGCGCGTTCGAAACTCGATCACACGAATGCTTCATCGATGGTGGATGCAACACGGTTGATCAATGCTGGCTCGGATTCACCGGGCGGGATACCGGCACTGAATGGCAGCTGCGCATCAGCGTCTTGAACAGGCTCATCTGTTGCTTCTCTCTCATGATCACTAATTCTTTCTTCAACCCCAGCACTGGCAACATCCGTTACTGGCAAAGGTGTTTGCGGTGCAATAGGTCTTGGACTCACGGGAGTCTTGGTCCTTGAAGCTATCCTATCTGCGCGAATCAACGCATTGAAGCATGCACGGCAAATGAGATTGTGAACAGTATGTTCGGACGAACAGGCACATGCTCTACAACCGGGTGTTGCTCCATACTTAATGATTCTATCAAGGGTTATGTACTCATTTCTTGGACTCTTTGATTCTTGGGTTATGCTAGAAAATGGGATATCCAACGGGGCCATGTCCTCAAGCTTTGCATCACCAAAGCTGGCCAAGGCAGTCTCGGACGCAGACTTCAAAGGTAACACGGGTTCCTTTTCTTCGACGAAGAGTTCCTCTGCTGGGACAGCAATTGCGTTGGTGTAACCACTCTCTTGATTCTTGACCTTATTGTCATCCAAAACGTAATACATTCTTGAAAGGTCTGGGTCCAGAATCATAACGCCAACCACAAAACAAACCAGGTTTTGATGATGCATCGAACTTTCCCCTTTGGAGTGGGTCAACCCTGTAATGCACCAACTGTCCCAAGAGCAATTCTCTGCCATTGAACTCAGAACCGGTTGCTAGCTTATGGCGTGTTTCAGTATTTCCGGACGCGATGTGCTTTGCATTCAACCTTTGCTGCAAACTCAACAGAATAAATCCAAAGATCTGGCACTAATGTCGAAACCTGTTTGGAGGTGACACCCTGCAGTGTTCGAATGTCCCGTTCTAAGACAGCATTATGAAGGAATCTGTTTTCCAAGCTTCCTTCAAATGCACAGGCCAGTTGCTTACATGCAAGTTTCGGTTCGGCGGCTTGGTCTGACTTTACCATGACAAAGGGATTATCGTATACGGGTCCAAGGAATGAAAGGATGTTGCCGGTGACGTTTGCAGCGTCTCTATTGAACATTGGATATGCACGCACCCATCCACTGTATTCATCCCTGATGACCTGAACACCGTGCTCTTTTCCACTGCTGAGCTTTTGCACAATGATGAAGTCTGTGGCGATCCGCTGACCGAACTGGGTAGTCGGGTCAAGAGCCCCCCTGTCCTCTAAAGGATCATGTCACGTCTAAACTTTCTCACCTTCTTGATACATGCAAGATCGATTGCAGATCGGGCACGCTGCATTCTTCGGAAAATGCGGAAATTTGTGCTGCGATGACTTTGCATCGGCTACAAGCCTACGCATGCGATCAACGGGTTCCTCACCTTCGTCATCACCATCCGATGAATGATCTGGAACATCTGGATCAACCTGTGCTGGCCGCTCCAAAGGGTGTGCAAACGGTACTGGATCCGCAACTTGACCGGCAAGGCCCTTTAAAAATCGCAACTGCTGATTGAAAATTGGAACAAAATCATCAACCCGATCTGCAGAATGAAGCTTACGCTTGTCAGCAGAAATGTGAACATCATCTGATGACATTGCCAAGTAGGGTAACTCATTAGGAAGCCAAACGAAAGGTTTACCAGAACTGACAATCTGACTCAAGGAGCGAACAATGGGGCAATCCTCCATGAGCGTGCAATGGGATCACACTGGAATGTCAAGTTCAAATACCACGGACCTTCAACTCGTTTTTGGTGCTGGGTATAAGTTTAACAGAACAGTGGCGGTGGAGCAAGCAAGGCTCAAGTCCTAGAGCTAGCAAATATGGATGGCCTAGGCTGAGGCTGTTAACCGTTAAACCCACCTACCACAGCCAAGTAGGGGGTTTACGACACCAAACGCAAGCAACAACGGCAAGTGACTTTTACCGCAGTGCTTCAGCCAAATGTAAAGGTGGCAATGCCAAAATGAGTTCTTCACAACTGGAAAAACAAGCCAGATACAAGGGATGATAAGTGTGATAAGAGGGATGCCCTACCGCTATTTCACATGACATATTATAACTATCTTGACCTATATCGACAAACAAACCGATCAAAGCGGGCCAATGCGCTCTGAAATGGCTCCCTTGAAGTCCATGGCCAAATTGCAGCAAAGGATCAGCCATGACGTATGGGTCGCTTTCACTTGTCACATCTAAAGAAATCAATTGGCAAGCCTCGCTGGCCAGGCTTGACTTTCCATTCAAGCACGGGCAAAACAATCGTATCGTCCCTGAATAGTTACAGAAAGGCCACCCGACAATCCTTCCCACCAATGCCAAAAAAGACAAACAGCCATTGTATCAAGCCAGGTCACAGATAGAACTTTCACCAAAAGGATTCCACCTCTTTCCAGCCAAGCGGACAGCAGTTCCAGGAATTTAGTCTGTTGCAGTCATCATCGAACTTTCAGGTGCATCGGTTGGTTCAAGTTGCTGTTTGTTCTTCAAAAAAAGGAGCAAAATATTTCACAGTATTTCGCAGTCTCAAACCAAAGAAGAATGCCAAGACACAAAACTGAATCGAAGCTACCGTCACCTGGGATCTCGTCTGAGCCGTCCTGAGTCATCTCTGGATTGAGGGCCAGGGAAATATCAAATGGTACTGGTGCACCCTGGTGCACCCACATACACAGCACATCTCTTGAAACACCAAAACAACCCCTGCAGCTGCTTGCGGCTGGCAGACTCAACCAGCTTGCCAGTGCCAGTCTTTGTGAAGGCCCTCTCTTGGTATTTGGATCCTTGGCGAAAGTGTCTCAAAACTGAAACACTACACGGATTTGGAGACAAAGCCTTGCTATGCATGGAAGTCCGTTGCTTGTGCAAAGTTGAAAAAAATGACTTACAGTACAAATTCTGCCGCCCCAAGTGCGGGATCCAGTGGGCTATGAAGCCAAATGTATGGCAACCGGACACCTAATGCCACCTGGCACACGCCAAAACCGGAGCAAGCTGCTGACAAACTTGTCCAGAGCAAGAACGAACTCTGCCTGAAGCTCACAACTCAGCAAGGTGCAGGCGGTGCAAACATGTTCCTCTGCAAATCATAGATGCAACTGATGCAACCTGCAATTCTCAGTCAAATTCTAGAGAAGATTCTCCAGTTCCAGCCAAGTTTTGACTGCCATCTGTGCGGCCTTAGAATGCCCCAGAATAAGAATTACGACAATTACGAAGTCAAGGTGCGTAATTGTCGCTTGTCTCTTTCGGTTTCGTGTAACCTTCAGGCAAATTGACTTCCAATTCTGCATTCACCTTGGTGGAAGGAAATGCTGGAAAACATAGGAAAGTGTCGTCTCATGTCTTAATATGCCGCCACATAGATGTCTCCAATGGTCATGATTCACTGCAAACAAATCATGACTGAAATCAGCTAACACACTGCATTGTTGCCAGTCTTGAGCATCCTCTCCTCAGTCTCTTTCGACACCACAAATCAGTGGCTACTAAGCGCGACAAGTCTGTGCTCTTGAGACCAAATGACTGTTCTGGAATCATCCTTCAAACAAAGCAGATCACATCAAAACATGACAAACTGTGACAAACTATCGAACCTGGCCAGGATATGCCAGGATTCATAGTCAGCAAACTCCCACTTGTCCAGGGTCAAGGAGAACACCCGGCTGATGTGAGTACCCAGACTACGATGTCTTCCTTCAGGGATGGCATATGTAGCCAACTGTATGATGGCTTGTCCAGGCATTCGTGGGAGGCCATTTAAGGAACCTTCCTCCATGGACCAAAAACGACCATATTTTCTATGTCTCGCTGTAATGACAACTTGTTCGTCGATTTGCTTTGCAATGTCCAGTGGCAGTTGACGCTATAGCATCAGAGGTTCTGTATGGAGGTTGGGGCGTTGCCGCTTGCGAACTTCGAGTCACAGTCGAATGAGACTGCGGGAGGAGGAGGAGGAGGAGGAGGAGGAGGTCGGATGCGGGGTGGGGGGGTTTACATTAACGTTCATGTTGACATTGGCTCCCACAAATCCAAAGGATTCGTGGTTCAAGACAAGTGCTCAGGAAAGCATCGTTGCCGATTGTTGGAATTGCTCGGTCCGGAGTCAACCTTCTTTCTACTACAATGTCCACAGCTCCTGCTGCATGAGAGCACAGCACAGCTCCAAAGGTCACGGATGCCCATGATGGTTGCTGTCCAACGCAATCAGCACCTGACTCCATGGATGAACGGAAGGTTGTTGATTTATTGCTAAATCTACAGTGTGAATATTTCTGAAGGCAAAAAAAGGATGGCTTTGCTACTGCTCCTGGAGCTATGAGGCAAGGACATACATCATTGCCAGGAACCTCAAGGATTTTCTTCACCTTCCAAAAATCAAATGGCAGGAAATTGGCCGTTGAAGCAAAGCGTATTGAAGCTTTGCTGAGCACCACCTTCCACTTCTTGGCTGCTATGAGTTCCGACTCTCAACGTCACACTTTACAGGTCGACGAAAACTCTCCAACTAAAGTGCGCCAACCCCAAGTGGATTCTGAATCATTGTACCACCTCGTCCTCTGTAAGGAGTCTCGGCCAGCCCTTCTTGGCTTCCTGGATTTCCTGCAACCTGAGCCAAAAACGGTACCGCCATGCCATGAGGCCATGAGGTAATTGCAATTTGGATGGCCATGGACCCACTGAGCTGCGCACTGAACTTCTGAAACGTCCATCACATTTGTGAACATAGACCCTTTCCACAGAATGCCATAAATGGAATCACCAAGTCTGTCTCAAAGAAAGTGCCAAACACCTGAGCTAGTTCAAGTTGCTTGCCAAGCACTGCGCGGCTGTCAGTTGTATATGCCCGATTTCTGGTCATCAGTTGTCTGTTTCCCTTTTTTGCAAGGCATGGATAGCAGTGATTTGAAGTCACCTTCTTAGTACAGCATCTCTTTTGAGCCAAGCTTTGTTGAGTCGTGGATGCAAATGGATGCAGCTGTGAAGATTCCAAACTTTGTCACAACAGCATTGTTGCTGCAGCTTTCCAAAAGTTGCTTTGCGTCATCAAGCTGCATAGATCAAGAGTTCACTACACTTCTTTCTCGCATTCCCAGCCTGGAACGCCCAATCCTTCAACTGGTTGCTGTGCCTAATAGTTGAGATCAGCACAAACAATGGCCACGGTTCAAGTTCTCGTCTTGCAGCCACCCCGCATCAGAAGACAAGGAAGATTTTTTTGTGTGAAGAATCCTTCTGAACAGAAAAGGAGCCCAAAAAGCATAACGCAAAGAAAGATCCTGGAGTAGATTTCCGCACCGGCAAGATCCTGCAAGCCTCCGAAACCTTCGAAACCTTCGGAACCTTCGAACTTGCCAAGCTGAGACTTCCGAGCTTCGGACGTCGTCGTCACAACTCTAGCGCCCATCTCCAAGAAGGACTCCAGCATTGCCCTTGCCAGCGCAGCTCCTTGTTGAGGGTCAGTTCCGGTGGCAGCCTGCGCAGGAAAGACAGCTGGTGGAGCAATGTGTAGCGCATGTGATTATTTGATTAACAATGGACCTACACTCTCGCGGCTAGCGCACTTTGTGGACATATTGTGAATATGTTTACCTCCTGCAATTGCTTTTCTGGTCGCAAAGCAAAGTTGCTCGGGGGCCAAAGCGTAAAGCAGCAAATGATGCTAGATGGCTACATTGGCCATAAAGATGTCGTTGGCACACTCTTTTCAGGTCTCCAGATTTCTAGGGCGACAGTGTGACCTTGACAGGAGCTCTGCTAACCGATTCTGGTTCAATTCCCGATTCGCAAAAGAATGCATCAAATTCAATTGAATCTTATGAATATGGATGGAGACTGGTCCTCAATATCCTCAATGGTGCAGAAATGAACATATATATATATATATAGAATACATATAGAATACATATACATATACATATACAATTGTGAGTTTCGTAACTTGCTGCTGCCGCGTACACCTTCGATTGTTTCCTGTCAGGGGAAAGCACATTCATTATGTGCCTTTTGACTCGTGGCTCAAGGCCAATTTCAGCGAGATAGGGGAAAAATCTCGAGTGCCGCCATAGGATTGGTTGGAAGGTGAAGAGTGGACTCTTTTGGGATTTGGTTGGATAGATATACATTTTTGGTGTTGTGGACAACACTGTTGGAACGACTTTACTTTGGTTGAACATCAACTACTTTCTGGTGATCAAGGAGGACCTTGAACCATTCAGGTGGGAACCGTTATCAGTGGCGTTGCGATCTACGATCCAACGACACTGGTAGCGGAGCCTAGAGGCTCGTGCTACTTGCACGCAAAGCCGGCCCGCTAGTTTTGTGGCTTCTGGATAGTGAGCAATGCCTCCTAAAGAGTCTGCCTCAACTGATGGGAACGGTGACTCCCAGCAGGGTTCCAATTTTTGGAATTTGCTGCCCAGTTTTGACCCGAGTGAAGATGACATACGAGAGTTTTCACAGAAAGCCAGGTTCATCCACGGTGTCATGCCCGAGAAGGACAAGCCCAACTTAGCTCCCAGGTTAGCTATGTTGTGTAAAGGGACAGCTTGGTCCCAGGTGCGTCAGTTAGATCCGAAGAAGCTCACCAAGGCCGACTCAGGTGTTGAATACTTGTTGGCCGCTTTGTCAGCTTGGGAAGAAACATCAGAGATGAAAACGTATGAACTGTTTGAACGAGCACTCTACAAGGTAGTACAGAAGTCTGATGAGGCCTCCCATAGTTTCTCACTTCGCCTTCAAGCTGCATTCAATGAGATAGGTGATGATGTCACTGTCAAACAAATGCAAGCCTTCGTGATGTCGAGACAGTCAGGTTTGTCGTCTGAAGACAAAAAGAAAATCCTGACGATGACAGGTGGTAAGCTGGATCTGACCGCAGTTGACCAAGCCATGAGGTCGTTGTCCACACGTGTGTTGATGGGCCCTGGTGAAACCAAGAAAAAGATTTACCCAATCAATTTCACAGAGGTGGAAGAGCCACCTGCCCAATCTGATGAAAGCCTTCCGGTTCAGAGCACTTACGTTGCATACCATGAGGAAGAGGATGTTTTGACAACCGAGCATCTGGAATACCTAGTGTCTCAGGGAGATGAGGATGCCAACGTAGTGCAACAGTTTGAGCGTGATTTCGAAGAGATGCTGCAAGAGATTCCTGATATGCAACAAGCAATGGTCTCATACAATGAGGCTAGGCAGAGGATCAATGATCGCCGTCGTAGCCGAGGGTTTTGGCCCACTGGAAAAGGAAAAGGGAAAGGTGGGTTCAAAGATGGATCCCGGCCATACCGCAAAGGTGGTGGAAAGTCTGGAAAAGAAGAGTTGCTGGCTCGCATTGCGAAAACGCATTGCAAGCTTTGCGGTGCCCTTGGGCATTGGCGTGCAGAATGCCCTCAGAGGAAAGAAACCCGTGAGTCAGCCAACGTTGCCTTCTCCATGCCATCCGAAGCATCCGATGCCGAAGAGGAGACCAACCAAGTGGTCTTTGAAGCGTTGAGTGAACAGGAGTGCATCCGTTGTGAAACCTGTTTCGTTGCCTCATGCCACCGAAATTCAGTTTTGTGCAAACAAAATGTTGAAGACGTGAAAGCCTTTTGGGGTAAGAAACTGGATAAGCCGGGGTATAAGCGGGGTAATAAAGGGGTTATTGGGTATAATGGGGTAACAAAGAATTGTGGTCCGGAGAATGTTCTGAAACCAGAAGTGGTGACCACAGCACTCCACACCCATGCCGCCAGGAAGATGCATCCGAGACCAACCAATAGAGCCGATGGTTTTGTCAGCCAGAATCACTCAGATGCCATGCAAAGTCAAGGAATGGCCATACTGGACACAGGTGCCAGTCGCAGTGTGATCGGACAAGACCATGTCCCCGCGATGCTCCAAAAACTGCCAGCCAGTGTCCGTGACCAAGTCGTGGAAAAGCCCAGTAGAGTAGGATTCCGTTTTGGAAATAACCAAGTTGCATATAGCTACAAACAGCTGCGCATACCACTGGTCCACAAGAGAATCCGAATCTGGTTGCTAATTGAAGTAGTGCCGAAGGCCACACCTTTCCTGCTGTCTATTAAGACCATGAAGAGTTTAGGAGCCATGATAGACCTAGGACAAAATACATGTTTCCTCAAGACACTGCAAAGGTCACTGTATTTGAAAGAAAACAAGAATGGGTTGTTCATGATTGACATGTCCGATCTTTGTCAACCTGATGTCAAGTCCAATGCAGCAGCTTTTGTCGCATCAAGTGTCTGTGCCCCGCCTCCAGGTCTGGAAAGTGAGATTCCTGTCAGTCATGCCGACACGCCAGGAAGTGCTCGATGCTCTTCGCACAGTGGCAGAGGAAGTGTTAGCCAGTCTGAAGCTCCTGATGACCATTGTGTTCACCATGACCAGTGCGATCGACCCGAACCAGGAAGCCACGGAGCTCCAGATGAATCCGGTGAATCAGCTGATTCACGAAGTGGCCCAACAACGTCGGACAATCGATCAGTTGGGGAATCTGATTCAAGCTCAGTTCCAACAGAAGCCACCCACATGTCCAGGACCTACCGTGAGCCCGGTGAACCATGTTCCAGGATCAGAAGATTTCGAATGGGAAGCCGAGATGGTGCCATCACAAGGCCAAGCTGCATCAACGGTGCCAAATTCTTCCCAATCGATGTCTGCTGTGATGATGAATGTCAGAGTTCCCAACAATCAGCCTCCTCCAATGCCAGTGAGACAGCCCATGCCGCATGTGTCAATGACACCAAGTGCCCGACCACCAGCTGCAATGATGGGAAGCCCAGGATCGTCCTACGCAGCTTCCGAGATTGGAAGCCAATTGATGGTGACTCAAGCATCCCTCGAAAGCTGGGGAAACAAGATCGTGGGCTTTGGCAAAAAGCATCTGAGGTCTCGTTACGCCCATGTGTACGAGTCCGACCCAGGTTACGTCAAGTGGATTCTGGCCAGAGCCGACAACCTTTCCGAGGATGTGGCAGATTTCGCAAGCTATGCTCGAGCTCGCAATCAACTGGAGCAATTGGCCAACAACCCGGTTCCATGAGAGGCAATTGGGAGGAATTTCAAGATTCTAGGATGTCACATAAATCTAGCTTCAAAGAAAGACAACTGTGGAATGAAATGCGACAGCCTGACTCAGAAAGTAGTTCTCACAAGTCAGAACAGTTGGACATCCTAGAAGTGTATGCGTTCCCGAACAGCATGTTGACCACCGTGGCGCAAGAACATGGTTTGCGAGCAAGGAGGTTTACATATGAGGATGGGGATTTATCAACACCTACTGGAAGAAGAGCCTTATTTCACATCATCAAGACACAGAGACCAAAACATATTTGGCTTGCACCGGAATGTGGTCCTTGGTGTGCCTGGAACCGTTTTAACTCCATGCGAAGCCTATCAAGTTTTGAACAAGTCATGCACCAACAACGTCTTGCCAAAGAACACCTGGTGTTGTGTAATGTGGTAGCTCAGATTCAGCATGATGAAGGTAGACACACCCATCTCGAAAGTCCCAAAACCTCCGGCGTTTGGAAGCAGCAGGAGATACAGCCGTTTTTGAAGCGTTCCATTCCGGCCCAGCTGGACCAATGTGCTTTTGGCCTGAGACATCCGAGTGAAAATCAGTTGATGAGAAAATCCACTCGCATACAAACCACCTCAGTTGAGATGTTTTCCGTTTTGGACTGCCGTGTTTGCAATCGTGAACATAGTCATAGTACCATAGCAGGAAGATGTCAGTGGAAGGGTCATAGCATTTCCGTGTCCAGGTTTGCTGCTTCTATCCACGCAAGCTTGCGCTGACCATTGTCCGTGGAATCATGCAAACATCCCAAGGCCCCTATGAGGCGCCAATTTGCCATGTAGATGAAATAGAGCCACCTGCCAAAAGGGCACGTACCAACTCTGGTGAAGCCTCTGCACCACACGACACCGCGAACGTGTGGAAACCAATGTTTGAATTTCTACAGAGAAAACTTCCCAAATCAGGTGTTGTCACTTGGGAAGACCCGCAAGATGAAGTCTTCCAGGAAATTCAGAAACTGTTTCCACATGAGAACATTGGTGCAGTCAAAGCAGGAAAAGGCCTAGATCGTCTTTTGTTGGGCGAAGAGGCTTGGAGAGATCAGCTGCCGAAAAGACATAGCATAGTACAGAAAAGATTCACTCATGAAATAATTGACCTAGGACTTGAAGTTTGGAGTGAATTAACTCGGAAAAGGGCTTGTCGAAAAGAGGTGCCAAGCCATATCATGTTGTGTTTGTTTTCCAGAGATGACAGCCGACCTGATACACCTATAATGCCAGCAGCCGATCCCGCCAATGGATCAATTGAGACAAAAGCCGCTGAATCAACAGCCAGTCCACCAGTGCAGGTAGATGTGCCCAGCTGGACTCCTTTAAGTGCCACTGTTTCAGGCCCAAATTTCCTGAAACTTACTCGAGAGCAACAGTCCATGTTGCGCAAGATTCATAATAATCTAGGACACCCCACAGCCGAAAGACTGGCCCGACATCTAAAGGAATCCAAAGCACATGAATACCTGGTGGAAGGTGCTGCCGACTTTGTGTGTCCGTCATGCGCTGAGAGACAAGACACCCACCACAAAAGACTACTCCCGGCCAACTCAAAGACCCGAAGGATTTTAATGAAAGAATTCTTTTGGATGGTTTTGACTGGTGTAGTAAAAGGGGTATTCAAATCTATGTGTTCCATATCCTAGATGATGCTACCCGTTTCCATTTAGGTCAAAGGATAACCCGGGATACCCAAGCCTCCATCCGTACAACGAAACAGATGTGGATTCAATGGGCAGGATCCCCACAGGAAATACTACATGATCAAGGTGGAGAGTTTGTATCCCAGCCATGGAAAGATTTTTTGCAAGCCCACAGCATTCAGCCAGTGCTCACTGCCGCTCCGTGGCAACGTGGTCGTATCGAGAGACATGGAGGTGTGATCAAGGAAATGCTTGAAAGAATGGACCATGCACAGAACTTCACCAGTCTAGCTGAAATAGATGAGGCTCTTAACCAGTGTTTCCGAGCGAAAAATTCTATGATAGTGAATAACGGATATAGTCCAGAACAAGCTGTACTAGGTAAGGCCTCTAAACTTCCTGGGTCACTACTCTCAGACGAAGAATCAACTGCTCATCACATGTGCCTTTCACCCGACCCAGCATCCGAGCAGTTTAAGCGAAGTCTTGAATTGCGGACAGCCGCAAGAGCAGCTTTCTGGCATGCTGACAATCATGCTGCAATTCGCAGAGCAGCCCTTCATAGGTCACGAGGTGTGATACATGAATGGCTGTGTGGACAGTTGTGCATGTTTTGGGATAAACGAAAAGCCCCGAACATATTGGAGAAAGGACGATGGTGTGGTCCAGCACAGGTAGTTTGCCAGGAATCAAGAACAATCATATGGATCACTCACATGAATCGGTTGTTAAGATGTGCCCATGAAAATCTCAGACCAGTTTCCATGCGTGAATTTCAAAGACACTCCACTTTTACAACTTCAAATACCCAAGAAGAATTGAAACAAATGGCACAACGTTTACAGACACAGTTGAAAGAAAAGAGTGGCATGTTTCAATACTCCGATTTATCTGAGGTGAATCCTCCAACAGAAGAAGAGGCAAACGATGGCAATAGCGAACTTTCGACCTCTCGACAACCAGAGGAAGAACCAATCAGACGCCAACGAGGTGAGATCGAAATTCCTGACGAAACCATGCACGACCCTGCGGTCGAAACGCCTGTTCCAGACTCCCCGTTTTCTTCCAATAGTGAAGAAAGCCCTGAATCAATGGTTCCAAGCCCGAGCCTGGCACAATCTGCTCCTGACACTGCATCATTGGACACAGATCAGTCGGAAAATGAAACTCCGAGTAACATGGAACCTGTGTATAATGCTGTTATCATCGAGAAGAATACCGAGACGACAGACTGTGTTCATGACGATGGCGCTCTTTGGTCAATGCCCGACCCTTGCGAAGCAGCGTGTGTGTCTTTTGAGTTTGAAATGCCAAAACAACAATTCCATAAGTTCCTCAAATCTCCCAAAGAGCACCTGCCAGAGGTCAATGCCGCAGCCCGCAAGTTTGGGAAAGAACTTGTTTACAGTGACTTGACACCCCAAGAGAGAGAGAGGTTCAAGCAAGCCAAGTTGAAGGAATTGAATTGTTGGTTGGATACTCAAACGGTAAGAACCATAGTTCGGGATAAAATTCACCCCTCCAGAGTTTTAGCCTCTAGATGGATACTGACTTGGAAGGAAGATGAAAATAGCGAAGATGGAAAGAAACCAAAAGCACGACTTGTGGTAAAAGGTTTTCAGGACCCCGACATTGGGGAATTAGCATCCGATAGTCCCACTCTCACCCGAGATGGCAGGATGTTATTACTCCAGACAGCTGCCAGCCACAAATGGTGTATTGAAAGCTTTGACATCACTACTGCCTTTCTACGAGGGAAATCCGATGATCGTCAACTAGCAATGGAACCCCCAAAGGAGTTGAGAGAACTGCTTGGAATGGAAAAACATCAGATCTGCCTACTAGAAGGAAATGCTTATGGACGGGTAGATGCCCCTTTGTTATTCTATCGCGAATTTCGGAAATGCTTAGAAGAAGTAGGTTTCACCGCACATCCCTTGGACAATTGTTTGTACTTGTTAAGAGACCCCAAAGATCCAAAGATCCTCAATGGGATAGTGGGTACTCATGTGGATGACGGTTTGGGGGCAGGTAACCACAAATTTAGCTATGCCCTACAACAACTTCAGAAAAAGCTTCCTTTTGGCTCACATGAAAAACGCAAATTCCGTTTCACAGGACTTGAAATAGAACAGTTGCCGGATTTTTCTATCAAAGTTAGCCAAGAAAAATATGTCCAAAGAATAACTCCCATAGACATCCCTAAACTCCGTAGAGCAGAAGTTGATAGCCCTATCACTCCACAGGAGTTAAATAAACTAAGGGGGATTTGCGGGAGCCTACAATACGCCGCAGTGCATTCCCGGCCCGATGTGGCCGCAAAAGTTGCGCACCTGCAGAAGGGTATTACCAAGGCGACCGTGCAAACTCTGCTAGATGCAAATCGAGTACTCAAAGAAACCCAAGAGTTTGCCAACACCTCTGGGATCGTACGTCCGATCCCCATGACGGAGCTCTGTTTCGCAAGCTTTGGTGATGCAAGCTTCGCTTCGGCCAAACAGATGTCAGCCCAGCAAGGGATTTTTATCATGGCATGCACACGGAAACTAGCAAACAATGAGACGACAGACTTCTCTCCAGTTGCATGGCATACCAAACAGATTGGTAGGGTGGTTCGTTCTACTTTGAGTGCCGAAGCATACGCTATGTCCAGTTCACTAGATAAGTTAACGTGGATTAGATGCATGTGGGGTTACATAAAGGATCCCTCTTTTGCTTGGCATAAACCTGAAAAGTCTCTTTGTGTAGAACCACCAGGGTTAATGATCACTGATTGTAAATCCTTATATGACTTAGTCACTAAGACTGCAGTGCCAAATTGCCAGGAGTGGCGTACCACCATAGAAGTCATGTTGCTGAAGGAACAATCAGCTAACCATACCCAATGCCGCTGGATCAGCACTGCTATCATGTTGGCAGACTGCCTAACGAAGTCCATGGACTCAACCTTCTTACGCACCGTTTTGCAGTTGGGAAGATTCAGAATCTACGATGAAGAAATGACCCTCAAACAGAACTCGAATCGAAAATATGGTGTCACATGGGTGAAACAATCGAACATAGAAAAGAGACCAGTGTGAGTTTCGTAACTTGCTGCTGCCGCGTACACCTTCGATTGTTTCCTGTCAGGGGAAAGCACATTCATTATGTGCCTTTTGACTCGTGGCTCAAGGCCAATTTCAGCGAGATAGGGGAAAAATCTCGAGTGCCGCCATAGGATTGGTTGGAAGGTGAAGAGTGAAGAGTGGACTCTTTTGGGATTTGGTTGGATAGATATACATTTTTGGTGTTGTGGACAACACTGTTGGAACGACTTTACTTTGGTTGAACATCAACTACTTTCTGGTGATCAAGGAGGACCTTGAACCATTCAGGTGGGAACCGTTATCAGTGGCGTTGCGATCTACGATCCAACGACATACAATCATATATACATATATTATTACATATCAATAGGTCAAGGATCCAAAAGGTCCTGCCTCATCAACCATGACCAAGGCTCGAGGTCCCACTCCTTCTGCAGCGCTCAGCATGATCCGCGACCTGAAGCAACAACGACTTCTGCCGATATGCCATAAGAATGTCGTCAGAAGACATGAGACTGACATGACTGACATTGCTGACATGACTGACATGAGATTCACATTCAAGATGGCCATCCATGGCCATCCAAAAAATATGGAACTTCCTTTGAGTGCCCTGCGCCACCAAATGCGCAGAATAGGTTGACAAGTCGTCTACCTGAGGGAAGGAGTCAAAGGCATTGAGATAGGCAAGGGGAAGAGAGCTGCAAGCTCCAAAATGCGCTGAACATTAGATATTGAACAATCTCACCCTGAGATTGAAGCAATTGTTTGCATGTCCCCAACATCTGCCAGAACCACCTTGCACAAAGTTTAGCAGCTGCACAACATTTTCTGCCAGAGGTGGGAAATTGCAAAGAGAATGGCAGTACACCTCTCCATGATTCTTTGCTCAAAGTACAGTAACCTTGATTTAGCAAAAGTCAGTTCCAGTAGTCTTGCCTCAAAAAAGTCGACTCTGGGTGCTTCTCCCCCGGGGATTGGAATTCCACAGCGAGCCTGAAAGCACCATGAAGATATAGTATCGTGGAACATCTCAACATCACTCAGCTGTAGAACTGAGCTGCACACCAAGAGCGCCAGCAATCCTAGAGTTTTGAGAACGACAGTCTTTCCGCCAGCATTTGGACCAGTGAGTAGAAGGCATTGACTGCTTGTTCCAAGCCTCGGAGAAACAAGTCAGAAACGGCTCCACATTCTAAGCTTGTTGCCATTACCAAACCTTGAGCTCCAAACTCAAGTCGATAACCGACCACCTGGCTGGCTGAATTTAACAAACGTCAAACAGCTTTCGTACGCTTCAAAGTTCCATTTTGGCAGTCCACCTACCGTCGCCGTGCCTTCTTCCCTCCACGGAGCACCAGGCATGGATTACGAGCCTTCAATCGAACTGGTTCCAAAAGTGCAACAGCCATTGATCTGTGAGAATTCGCCAACCCACAAACCCAGAAGTCCATGATTTCCCAGCCTGTCTGACCTGGATAATTCCATCATCCCCAACCTTCGGCACCTGTCTGAAATCATCCAAGGAAAAAGCATGGTCTTTGACAAGGCGGGCATTTGGCTGAAGATTGTTTGATCCAAATTGATGCAAAGCGCATCGAAAGGACCTTGCCTCTCCTTCCATGTCCTCCCCAAGGAATAGGCGAGCACGCGCCAAGTCTATGAGGGCAGCTGCCTGCAGAAAAAGCGCAGGTGATGAAGTCAGAGCGCGCGACTGCAAATTGGAGATGGACGGAATCTTGAAGGGCTAAACTCATAGCATTCTCGTAGCCATGCCCCTCTTGATGCAAATGAAGCACGGGTACCTCTATAATCTATATGTATTGCTGTATATATATAATATAGTGGAGTGGTGCAAGTGCCATCTTTTCGCCTTTAAGCATCTCTTCATATCTTCCGAGGCAGAACTGATGGCCAGTGACATGTTCCTCGCACACAATAAGAATCGTCTCCCGTGCAAATCACCAAAGAATCCAAAAAGCAGCAGCTGTTGCCCATGAAAGCACACACATCACCAGCGTCACCAGCGCTCCCGTAGATACGCCGAACCATACGTTCCAGCTCCTGGCAGGGGGGACTTGGTACTCAACCCAGGGGCACTCCGGGAAGTCTCAGCCAATCCTTCACGGCCGCACAAAAGATTCAACAAGAGTACAATACACATAATACACCCCAGGATCCAGAGGTTTCGAAACCATCCCAGCTCGCAAATTCGCCACGCAAATTCCAACGGTCCGAGTCACAAAACCTGGTGGTCTTTTTTTATCTGCTTAGTGTTGGAAAAAGGCAGAAATCCAGTATATAACCTTTAACAAAGAAATGGAGAGCAACAAAAACTGATTCAAATCTCAATGACGGTCTTCTGGCCGTTTGCCCCAAACTGAATCAGACCGTGATGTGCCTTCTTGGATTTTGACAGACCATCCGCATATTCAATCACTTCAAACGGCTCCACATAAGCAGTTCCTGAAACGGGACACAAAACTTAGATCCCCAACGCAATGGAAAAAATGCTTTGAAATCGTGAACATACTGCAACTGCAAATCTACAAAAAAGGACAGAGACCATATGTATGCTGGGACGCGCTGTTGGGAGACACGCCTGAATTCATCCTGCTTGAAGCTAAAACAAAGCCTGACCCCATTCCCTTTGAGCCCCGTGCGGCCGCTTCTTGATTCATCAAACATTCGGCCAACCTGCACACTAAGTTCAGAATTCAGAACAGAAGAGGGACTCTGACTCTGTCAATCCCAGAAATTCCTGCACCGGCTAAATGGTACTTCAAAACCGAATAACACATCCTCATAAGATCTATGCATGTCTAAAATTCACCAAAACACCCTATGAACGCAGCTTCAGTTCACCATCTTTCACCTCTTAATTCCAAGTTGTTGAGCTGGTGCCCACGCCTTCTCTTTGAACCGTGGCTTCACTCCCAACACATAGTGCCTGACTCAACTGACAGGCCGTGAGGCTTAGCACAACCATTCCATTATATTGTTTCATAGGGATTCCATATATTCTATTGTTCATGGGTTGTGATAATCCCAACATATTTATCAGATTTTATCAGTATAATAACATAAGCCAACAGGGGTTTTGAACACTGCTCAGCTAGGCAAACTCAAGAACAGCTCTGAGTGTCATGCCCACCAAACTGCATGTAGCCATCATCTGACAAGTACGCAGAGTACCTTTCCCCGACATCTTCTGGCACATAAAGCTTTTATATCGTGCGGCTTGAAGATGTCTGCAGCAAGCACAATTCTTTACGTTCTTTACTTTCACAACTCCTTCCTGTGAACACCCATCACCCCTTTTCTTGCCGAGATTGGCGTCTTTCGCACCTGAATCGTTAAACATCGACGGATTCTGAGTAGCTCTTTGGCCTCACAGATGAGCTTCACTCAGCCACGATCTCGTGGAGGACATCTGCTTCTTACCTCAGCCGTTTACACGTCAGACCCAAACTGTGCACTGCGAAGCTGAGAACCTGGCGATGTCGGTGAATGGCTGTTCTTGCTGAAGTTTCTACAGCCTCCTCAGAAATCATGCTGCGATGCAGCCGAATCTGAAGCACTTAATCAAAATCAACTCCAGCTCACTGATCTGTTCTTTTTGACGACAAGAGTAACATGTGACGGGAGCTTAGTGACTGATCCACACTGTTACACACACACACACCGTTCAGTTTTTGGTCATTGATCATGCACATCTTCAACCAGAGCCTGGATGAAGGAGCTAGGCTTCATCTTCGCCTTGTTGAGGGAGCTGTCCTGACAAGCAACGTCATCCCCGACTGATCACGCAGCAAGTCAAACATTGACCTTGGAGTTTATCTAAGACATCCATACCCCACCATACCCCCTCGGCTCACGAAGAAAGCGTCGCCAACTCTTGGATCATAGAAGTTGCTCCGAAACAGCTGTCCAAAGGTGTTTGGTATGTCTTGGAGTACCATAATCTTTACATGATAGAAAGGTCAACTTCACACTGCATCTTGCGTTGATGTAGAAAACCCAGGATTTTCCGTATGGTCTGCAGTCGTTTGTTGTTTGCAGCCACAACAATCCCCACACCCTCAGAGCAGCTGCTCTGCATGCCTTCTCCTTGGAGCAGTCAATCTCCAGTTGATCACAGGTGCTTCGCGATGAGATCATGAAACTCATGCAACCATGTCTGGTCATGTCTGGTGATTTTGCCGTGTCCCAGGATTATTTATGACAGGCACGCAGAAACTCTGCACATTTCATCCAAGCTTTTCAGTGACCAAAAACACTCCTGATCCTCGGAGTGACATTCCAGCTTCCCACCTCAGAACAAGCTGCGGGCCACAATTATCCCTCTTGGCGTGGAAATTTGGCCAAATCTGACCAGAAAGAAAAACAAGGAGAATGGCAAGAAATGGTTTTGCTGCCAGACCTTTTGATGACTTCAGAATGACTTCCGACTCGTGGTGCGTTGAAATGCTCCAGAGATGCAGCCATTCCGCAACTCCTTGCTTGATTCATCTTGGTGTGGCATCTGGGACATTTAAGTTTCTAGTTCAGGAATGCCGGTGGGTACTCCAAACTGGAAAATGCACTTGGTGGATCTACATCAACAGACCCCAAAATCCCGAAGGCATCTTGATGTCTGTGATTTCGCCAAAGGCCGGCACCAAGGCACTTCCATGTCATCTCGTCACATTGCCTGGAACTGCACGGCCATGAACCCTACCACGTTTCAAATTCTACACTTCTTTAGGAGAGATCAAATATGATGAAGTATATATAACTTTCCACGAGCGTTCAAGATCCATGATGAATCATGATCCTGTTGCTGGAGGAAACCCTGCCCCACCGGTTGAGATGCTTCATTATATGTCAACTACCATCAGATGAATTATCATCCGGAATCATCTACTTAACAACAGGCCATTTTTGCAACCGTTGCTCGCCTCTCTTTTTCAGCGCAGAATTCATCGAGGCCATCACAAGTGAAGCCGGTTGCCTGTGGCGACAGTTTGCGCGTTGCAAATTTTGCACCTGTGCAGATTGGACCTGGCAGACCTGGCCGACCTGGCCGACCTGGCCTGGCACGAGTAGGAATCACCCTGGGTCAAAAGGACTCTCCGCAAACGCGATGGAAAAAAACGCTGAAAATGTTCAAACAAACATTGAAATCCGCTGGGGTGCAGGCTTCGCCCTGGCAGCCCTTCAGGATGCAGCAAAGGAAAGGCAATGATATATGAAGACCCAAACGGACCTTAGTATGACTTAGTCGGCTTTGTCAACTTTCTTCGTGATTACAGTGCTGAGGACTCAGCAAGTTTCTTCATGCCTCGCCAAGAAATTCCCATGCAGGTGGAAACGATGCAAATTGAAGCAAATCAACTGGGATTGAAAGTAGTCGGGTAACCAAACTTGTGATGGTCTATCATGGTTTATCGTCATTTTCCCCGTTAAGATATGTATAGATTTGCCATTCCGGGGCTACTGTGTACCCAATTTTCAGGCATACAAAATTGATTCAAAATTCCTGAATCACAATCAGCACTAAGGCCGCAGCTGTGTATGTCGAAATGCACAAATTGCAATTCACAAAAAACGGACTTGAAACTACTGCGGATGAAGCAAGCAAACACACTAAATGACCATGGCATGCATTGCGAATGATGGTGAAGGATGGTGAAGTTTTTTTTTAAGTTTATGACCCTTCTGGACAGGACAAGACAAACGATCAATTTACTTCAGGAAAAAAAGAAGAAACCAAGTCCGAGTCCGGCTTGTTCAATGTTGTTTGTAACTATATATATACATGTGTCTTGTGTTATCTTATGTTATGTTATGCTATGTTATGTTATGTTCTACATATATTATATCATATCATATCGTATCGTATTATATTATATCATGTCATATTATATTATATCATATTATATTATATCATATTATATTATATCATATTATATTATATTATATTATATTATGTTATATTATATTATATTATGTTATGTTATATTATATTATATTATATTATATATTATATTATATATTATATTATATTATATCGTATTATATTATATTATATTGTATTATATTATATCATATTATATTATACTATATTATATTATATTATATATCATATTATATATCATATCATATATCATATCATATCATATATCATATCATATATCATATCATATCATATTATATATATAATTATGTATATATTATATTATATTATATTATATATTATATATTATATTATATATTATATTATATATTATATTATATATTATATTATATTATATATTATATATTATATATTATATATTATATATTATATATTATATATTATATATTATATATTATATATTATATATTATATATCATATGTCATATATCATATATCATATCATATCATATCATGTAATATCATATATCAAATATCATATCATATCATATCATATTATATATTATATATTATATATTATATATTATATATTATATATTATATATTATATATTATACATTATACATTATATATTATATATTATATTATATATCATATATCATATATCATATCATATCATATATCATATCATATCAGATCATATCATATTATATATATAATATATATATTATTTATATATATATATATAGTTTTTTTATGTTTTTTTGTTTGGATGATCTGAAAATCGCCAGTTGCTCCACCAAGGTGAAGAGCCCCGGGCACTTTCCGCTCGAAAGAACCTCTGCCATGGTGCGAGAGCAGGCCTCCTCCAACTCCCTGCAGGTCAGCCATGGAACAACGCTGTTCAACAACCAGAAACAACCGTAAATCATAGGACATCACAGTTAAGCCACCACAAATGACCATAAATCCATGAATAATCCATGAACACCAAACAGGTCAAGATTCAGATTCCATGGAGACAAAATAGTTCCAATCAGAATAGCAGGGCCTGACAGCTTGGCGCAGCTGCGCCAATTCAGGAAATTTCTTGAGAGATAGCTCTCCATCCTCTTGAAAGGCCTGTGCCCACATCACGGACCACCTCTTCCCTTGTCCGACCTTGTCCCAAACAAGTAAGACTGTCGTGCGGCATGAATTCGCAAAAAGGAAAACCACGGAAAAACTTCATTAGTTCATTAACATTGACTACAGTAATATATTGACGAGTCTGCTTCAGATGGGTGTTTCAGTTTCTTTCGTTTCCGCTCCTCAAGCATGATGTCCAGGAGCCTATCAGGAAGGTCCTCAAACGTGATGGTTTTGTTTCAATCCACGTGATCACACAAGAATTAAACAGAGATGACACAAAAATGACACAAAATATCACAAAATTGCATGTATCTGCTAGCTTTGGCAACAGTCTTTGCATATCTTGGGACAGGACTATGTCTTGGCAGTAGGCCAGCAGTGACGGAATCTCCACACCACGGGTATTTGCCGCTTCCAGACCTCGTGCGGTACAAAGAAACCAGAAACTGTATGAAACTAGCATCATAGAATATCATAGATACCAAGCATCATAGAAACATCTAATTGTATTTGTTGTTCTGATTTTTGTTTTTTCTTCCCTTGGCACCACTGGCACTTATATAAGTCTATTCGAATGAATCTGCTCTCCACCCTTGCCCTGAAGCTCCCGGTGGCTCTTGTGTCTCAACAAGGCATCTCAGTATTGCACCGTTGCGCAATCGAAGCAAAGCCTGTGAACAGTGAAAAACATGTTTGTCACTAACTTGTGATAGCGTCCAGCAGCAAACCTTTTGTTTAAATTTGAGCAAATGATTCCACAACAGCGATTGAGAGTTTCAAGGTGATTGCCTCGATGGATTCCGAGACTTTGAATAGCTGATTTGGTTCCTTAGATACGCAAACAAATGAACGCACATGTTCCGTTGAAATACCGAACCTCCTTTGCTGGTCTGTGGCATGATTTTTTTGGGACAAAACAAACAACCTGGCGCCGCCTTTGCCAAAAGGGCTGAGGCATCCACTAGTACCAAGCCGTGAGTGCACTTGTCCACCTACAAAACACAGGCATAACCGTTCCACTGAATATGTAGGGATACAGGGCCTTTTGTCCAAATGCCAGTGTCTTGACTAGATTGGAACGAATCCAATTCGACTGACCATAAGCACTGTGACCAAACAAGCCTCGTCTGCGATGTCAAGTTTGGCTTCAAGATCGAGATCAGCATCTTCCAATTGAGTAAGTTCCAGGACGGTATCGTACAATGCACGAGCTTCTTCTGGACTTTGTGCCAATAAGGCATGTGGGTCCACTGCCATTTCTGCAGCGGTCGCAGTGTAGCATAGCCCTTGCAAGCGTTCCAGAATGAAATCCAAATCCAAAGCTTCCAGAGTTCGCTGCTTTAGCGAATCAACCAAATCTGCATCCACTTCGTCTCCCACAAATTCATCTCCATATTGCGCACCACCTGCGCGCAAAGCAACAGGTTGGCGCCCTAAGGTGTTCTTTGAACTTCTGCGGGACAAATACCTCGAGGTCAAACCAATGGTCGATAAACCCACTAAGTGACCCAAACTGGATGATGGCCATGTTCTCCATGTGGATGTTTTTTTTCGACCGCTTGAAGATGTGCTGCTACCGTTCCCACGTTGTAACACATCAGGAGTCGGTAATGTCGCAGCAACAACTCGAGGTTGCAGAATGCCTCTGGACAGGCTGCTTGGGATGCCCGAAGTTTCTGCCATGATGAGTTTGTCAACAATTTTTTTCCACTGGCCATTTGTTGTCCTGATTTTCTCGCAATATTCCAAATTGTTTGTTTAAATATGTGTGTCCAATCCATGTATTCAAATGGAGCTATGGATCGTACCATGTTCATGCATCATGCCCCATGTGTCACGGTCATGAATTATGGTCGTGAATCATGGTTATGAGTCATGAATCATAGCTGCAAATTGGTACATGATTTGTTGGACAAGTTCAATGCAATTTGGATCTGGGCAAGAATTGCAACAGACTGAAGGGTTGCAATTGCGCGCCGTGAAAAATTCCGTTGGCCGGAAAAACGGATGAATTCATGCGTACAACCTTTACAAAGTTGTGTTCAATTTTGTTTGGCGTGAAAACACTCACCATGCACACCTTCCAAAACGCATCCGTTTGTCCATTGTGATTCTGACATCCAATTGCCTGAAAATGGATTCCTAAAAACCTGAATGCACGGTATGCGGTTTGATCATGGCCCATGACAAAATTGAGCACTATCTGAATGAAACTACGGTTTTTTTGATAAATACCTTTTTATCATCAACATGGCAAAGCGAACCGAGCCGAAACAAACATGGCCGGGAGAAACCATACGGTCCAAACCATTCATCGGCAGTTTTTTGGGCATTACTGCAGTTCATTTTGCTGGCAAATCTGAATTGTTTGCGTCTCGTTTTCACCCACGCTGGGCTAAGCTGGGTAAGGCCAAGCCGGGCCGGGGCAACCCGGGCCCCGCCACCGGCCACAATCCCCAAGCATTCCCAGGGTTCAAAACATGCACCTGATCAAAATAATGACACCAACATGATAAGAACTAAGGTTCCTAAAGCAATGGTAAAGCACAAGTAACAATGATACCATTCATCAAAATGACCGATTTTTTGGCCAATGGGTACGTCATTTATGTCTCTTAGAGCCGCAAGCTGCAGTGAAAGCTGAAGCTGTGAAGATGCACACCAGGCGAACTGACATTGAGAATGTGAACTGATGCATGCACAAGCATCCTTTTTCAAGCTGGGATATCGCTGCTGGCCTGTTCTTCAGGCTTTGGGTTTGGCAATGTCTGCCAGGAAATGTAAGAGGACGACGACAGTCTCTAGCGCTGCAAAGTGCCAGTGTGGGTGGCAAGAGGGCGGGGCAACTTTTTAGCGCTAGAAACAAAAGGATATGTTGACTTACTGAAATCTTGTTCACAATGTATTCAACTCAACTGAAAGATGTCACATGGAAACATGATGCACAATGGTTCAAGCGACACCGTCGAGCCAGCCTGCTGAATCGCACACGCTTCTTCTTTCAAGCCGTAACTCACAATCATGACATGACCGTTTGATTATGTCTCTTAGAACCGCAGGCTGCAGTGAAAGCTGAAGCTGTGAAGATGCACACCAGGTGAACTGACATTGAGAATGTGAACTGATGCATGCACAAGCATCCTTTTTCAAGCTGGGATATCGCTGCTGGCCTGTTCTTCTCCCCATTTGACGGCCAGGGCCAGCAACGCATCCCAGCAACTAGAAACATCGAAATCACAACTGTGTACACCAAGCTTTAACAAACTTTCGACTCTCAGCCTTGATGGCCCATCTGCAGTGTTCGAATCAGTGGGTACCCTGGCGTACCAAGGAGTGAGCTGCTTCTCGCACTCCAAACCAAGAGTGGCCAGCAAGATCCGTTTTGCCACCACATTGTTAGTGTGCCCTGTGATCAGTGCATCCCTGACAGCGTTGTTGTCAGTATATATCACTAAGGCATTTGAGACGACGTCACCCCAAACATAAAAGGCGCAAAAGAGAGCGAAGAATTCACACTCAAAGATGGCATTCTTCTTGCCAGAAGGGTTCAAGGACTGCACCATGTCACAAGTTAACTGCTTTGAGAAGAATCGCACCGGTCTACCTGTAGGGTCAAACAGCACCGCCCCAATGCCTGAGAAGACACCGTCTGAGGACGGTTCGTAAGACGCGTCAGTCTGAAGGAACCACACATTGTCTGAGGTTGGACGTAGCTCACGTGGTCTGCCTAATTCCAAGAGCTTGAGGTGCAAGTGCAACGACATGACAGCTTTCTCATTAAGCCTTGGGGAACCATTGCCATAAGCATGCAAAGTAACCACTGACAAAGCGCTCTTTGCTATTCTGCCAAAAATGCTCCCTGCAGCAAACTGTAACCGTCCACGCAACCTCAAAGCCTCTTGTCGCGTCAGACGACGCACTTTGAGTATTTCAAGCAGACACTGGATGAGCTCACGTCTCCTGCTATCCGTGTTACCAACCGTCACCAAACCTCCATGCAAAGCACCAACGTTGACCAACACTCCAAGGGCTTGGAACGCCTCTGCAAAGTCAGGCGCCTTTGCTCCGGACTCTGCAAAGTCCCAGCCAACCAGTTTGAAGAACATGTGAATGCAGGAGGTGATTGCATTGGTCTCGTCATCTGTTGCAAGGACGACATAGTCGTCGAAGTAGTTAGTGGCTAGGACGAGAAACTCCTTGACCAGCAGGAACCACAAGCTGAACGAAGCCCTCAAGAAAGAGTGCACTGATCTGACGGCTCCAAACGGCAGGGCTCGCATACGGAATGCGAAAATTTCTCGAGAAGCTGGATGTTGAACGGCAATGTGGGCATACCGCCGAGATGACGGTCGAATCGCGCACTGTCTGTACGCACCCACCAGATCGAACGTCCTGCCTTTCCAACGTCGGCGCCCATCTGACGAACCCATGACCATCACGCACAAAGCTCCAAAAACGTCCAAAGTATGTGGCTTCGGACTTTCTCCAGCTTGGACGCAGCAATTTACTGCAGAGCGAGTGAAGTCATCGATGCAGCGCAGCTTTGGGCCTTGCTGGATCCCAAAGCGTTTGCTCAACGGATAGCTCTCAGGCACGTCAGACAACTTGATCGGACCCACCAGTGTGCCAGCTTCAACTTCTTCCATAGTTTTGCGCCACACCTCATCACCGTGTGGGGCTGCACCTGCAAACTGCTGGTGCAGCACGCTCCTTTCCATAGAAGCCACTTTGTGCAGTTCATCAACAGTGACCGTGGCTGGAGAGAACTTTGATGGCCACAACCCAGTTCGCTCCACGCATCCTATCAACTCAGAGCCCTGACTGAGCTCAGCCACAACACCAAGGTCTGGGTAGTCAACGGCCTTGAGCATGGACTCCCACAAGAGAATGTTCTTGCTGTCAAGAACTGCTGCCACTTCAGCATCCATGCTTTGTTTCAAGGCCTTCTCGTCGCTCCTCAACTCAGCCAAACGCTTCAGCCAAAAACCAAGTTTGCAAGCTCTGTAAGAAATGCGTTGTTGTGCATCCATGGTGTTATACCTATCAACAGCCTCCTTCAAGACATCAGGCAAACATGATTGGAGTGTGGCAGGGTGCCCAAATTTCACCATTTGTTGCACGAAGGCTTCCTCCGACCAGGGCACCCCCCAAACTTGTGTGCTGCAAACGCCAGACCTGTGACCGTCAAAGTCACCACACTTGGAGACAATCCTATCCACCTCCTCTTGTGCCAGTTGCTGGCTTGACACCCACGCCCCCTTTTGCAAGCATGTCGAGGGCAGCAACGGAGGAACAACCTGCAATAGCTTTGAACCCTTCGGTAATGCAGTGGGCGCGTTCACAGTGGCCACAATGGTTGGTGCATCCAACTTCTGATTGACTTCAACTGCTGGGAGGTCAGGTTGAAACCCTGTAAGTGCAATACGGGCCCCATATGTTGCAATCAACGGCGGCAACTTGGACGCACGTGGTTGAAGGCCTGTCTGCGCCCTCAACGCAGGCAAGATGGCTGCGTCAGTGGCTGACAACTCTGAAAGGGTTTCTGGTGGCATCTGAATCCCCAACCGCTGCAGCGCAGCCACAAACTTCAGAGCAATGTTGCGTGCCAGTTTCATGGGGTACGCAGTCTCAAGAGAAGTTGCAAAGGTGGTGCCATTCATTGCAAGGCCCCATTTGTCATGTTTGTGAGACGCAGTCTCGCCATCACACATCTCATTCAACGTTGCAAACTCTTCGGCGTTAAACGCCAACATTGTGCGCTTCGGCCTTGTACTGCCGTATCTGCAAGCCTGAAAAGTTGTAAACTGCATCAATGTCAAAACATCCTGCATAAATGTCGTCTGCCAAAAAAGTGAGAACTGTGGATTTTCCACACAAAATAAACAGCCTTCTTGAACTGCCCAACGTACCAGCTTAGCTGTGAGATGGTACAGCTTGTTAGCTTTGGAGATCTTCAACCTGTCGAGAAAACGCAAATTGGGTAACCCGTTTGGGTGATCATTTGTCCTCAAAGGCCTTGGGGCCGGAGGATCTCCAGGTTGTTTGCGCTTCAACGGTATGCTTCTCGCTCTGCTGGCGGAACCACATGGAGGCGCAAGAAAAATTCCGACCACGTAAGGGTTGGATAGCCACTGCATCAACAACTCAATGCCAGCTTCCGTTGTCAGGTCGGCTACTACTATCTGGGCCATGGCTTGCTTATGTCGTACACAATCTGTCCCAAACGAACTGGACATTCCCAGTTGTTTCAAACATGCTGTGACGCGGCCAGTGCCCGCAAAAATTTCCACCACAAGGCATTCTGCAAGGCTCGCACCAGCACGCGCAAGAGTGCTGATGCGGCCAAATTGTCACTTCTTCTTTGTGTCATGGTCACGTTCAGGGTGAGGTGCATAGCAGTTGCGGCGGCAACACAAATGCCAACCACGTGGGCACTCCCCGCCGTCTGGCGCTTCTGTACACTTTCCAGTCTGGTAGTTGAAGCACAATCTGCGACCATGCATGTCCATGTTTGTATCGTCACGTCCCAAGAGGAACTTTGGCATCACTGACTTTCCTTTGTTTTTGCCCTTTGGGTTTGATCCACCACCTTTCCCTTTGTAGGGGCCCGGTCTGTCACGCCAACCGCTGCTTTTGCCCTTGCCATCATATGATGTGCCTTGGCCAGTTGCGGCCGGTCCATCAGGCTTGGAACCAGTCTTTGGTAGAGGTAGAAGGTGGAACCCGACTTCGTAGGACTGTAGGGCCGTGAAGATCATGGAGTCAAGGAGGAGGGAATTGTCAGGTTGCCTTTTGAGGTCAACTCCAGCACGGATCAAATACAAAAACACTTGCCTGTCTGCTTTCAAGACCTGGGGCAGAGTCGGCCGCATATAGTTGGGAGGCGGTTCTGACCGGAGGTGTCCCGTCAGTTGCTGTAGGTAACGTTCATGGCACTCCCAGGAAATGAGGTCTGCAAAGGTCATTGCGACCCCTCTGCGCCGCAGGGCCTCAAAGGCCTGAAGTTCTGAGCTATGAAATTGATCTGGGACGTCGGCCTTCTCTCTGACCACAAGCTTCTCTGAATCAAGTGAGATCTGCTTTTTGTTCTTGCCCATTGTGATCTCCCACTCTCGCGACGTGCACCTTTCCAGCTGCACCACTGTCAATTGGTTGGCCTCCTTCTGCTGAGTCATTGCCTCAAGCAACTCGTGAGATGGCTCTAACTGCCTCTCCAGCACCACACCAACCAAGCGAGTACGTAACTGAGCTAGGCGGTGCTCTCGCTCCACTGCTGGTAATTTGCGAGATGCTGCTGCGTTTGGGTCAGACACCAACTCACGGAGCTGACCGAGGACAAGCGTGTGTCCTTCGAAAACCAGCCTCTTCAGAACGGCCGTATCGGCCTGATTGATCATTGCGCCCAGGGTGTTCTGGGCATAATTGTTGAATTCGTTGGCATCCAGTGGGTGGCCAGGCTGGCCAATGGAGAAAGCTAACTTACCCATCGTATCCAAATTTCCAGTCACTAATTGGCCTATGGCCCGTTCCGTCATGCCCATGTCTGCACATCTTTTCAAAAAGTGTGCTTTCGAATCCACTATTGAAGACATAGCAGCACCGCTGTCACAGGACTGGTGACAGGTCAAATAAAAAGTGTAACATGTGAAGCAAATGCAATGAAATACAACCTTCAACAACAGAGAAGTGGCATGTCAGTGAAATTGCAAGAAATGAAGGCAGTGCAAACCTCAAGACGTTGAAAGCAATCGTTAGGCTCGCGATGAACACAACATGTTGACATGTGACTGCAAGACTTCATTACAAACATGCCGTGTGAAAAACTTGACAGCGCACATGCTGCCATCCAGCTGTTGCGCCAGCACATTGCTGCGGAACCACACATTGTGGTAGTGCACATTGCACTAGTTGCACATGCAACTGCACCACATTGGCGCTACAACAAAACAAAATAAATTTCCAACCTGTGACATCACTCTTGCACATGCAAACAGCACCACATTGGTGCAAACAAGAAAAGTGCAAAATCAATTGGAATCGCATTGAAACACAATGTCTGCCCAAACATGACTGCTGCGGCCATTTACAGACCTGGGTGCCCCCCCCAACCCCCAGGGGTCTGGAAAATAGGTATTCTGAAAAGAAAACATCACTGCACATGCAGAGATCTGAGGGTGAAAGAACTGGAGCACTTCTTTTTGTCTCTTGGTGCACATTGCAACGCAGTCGTGAAAAGCAAGTGAATGAAACGGTCATGCATTGAAACTGTTTTATGGTGCCCTGCGTCCTTTGAAGCAAACTCTGCACTTAGCAGTCCAGTCGAAGCTTACGTTGACGAGCTTGTAGCTCTCATTGATGACCCTGCCACATTTTGTCAAGGTCCCTTTCATTACCTCCTGGAAGATTTGCTGCGTGTCGATCGCAAACATCACCTTGTCCCTGCACTCGTGGACAATCTTAGTCTTGTCATTGCGTGCCACAACCTCGTCAAACGAAGGCACCGTTTCCACTGCAGGTGTCTCAAGATCGCTGCCTTCAGGATCAAGATCAATCGCTTCATCCTGGTCTGTCGTGTTTGCAACGCTAGCACTCTCAGAACTGTCGCAATCTGAGTCTGACGACAGTTCAATGACTTCTGCATTCTTGCCTTGCGGCAACAAAGTCCAGCTGGACTCCGATTTGACCTCTTGCACGGCAGTTGCAGATTGGCTCTCGTCAAGCTGCTTGCCCCTGCCACCTGCTGTCAGCGGGGTCATCGTCACAGGTGTTCCAGGCTGTCCTCGTTCCACAAAGGCAGGGGTGAACGGTTGCATCACCACATGGGCTGGTGTCCCTACGGACTGACCTGCTGCACTGTTTGGGAAATAGTTGGCCCGTGTGGCATCAGGACAAAATGTCCCGTCCTTGATCAACCTAATGACCTTCTGCAGCGAGTTCACAGGACCAACACTCATGTCACGGCTGTAGAATGAGTCCGCGCACTGAATTGCCGAAGAGTGACGCCCCAAAATGCGTCTCTGCTCCCGAGGAACCTCTGCTTTTGACGCCCAGCTCAACGTCGTGGCTTTGAGACTGTGGCTAGACAACAAAGCGTCGTCGCAGCCAAGGAATCCTTTCAGGATACTTGTCACCTCTCCTGGTGACAGAGGGCGCTTCATCCAGCTGACATGGTCGCCCAAAATGGGCGCTGGCAAAAGAGCTCCCTGTATCAGCCCAGAGGTTGCTAGGCCACAGGCTTTCCGGTTCGCAATCCATGAGTGCACCCAAGGGAAGTCCACCACGCCTGCACTGGACATCAAGATCGGGAGCAACAGTGCTTTCTGCTGAGCAGTCCTTGCAGACTTGTGGAAGCGTGTCGTGACCTCCAAAAAGCCTGTCTCTCCTGAAACGTCGTGCAGCACCTCATGGATGTAATTGGCATCAGAAACTCTGCAACGTCCATACAGCAGTAAAAGCAAACCAGATGCAATGCACTTGTCAACTGCTGAATCTTCATGCCCATCTGCTATACTGTGAAGCCTCTTGACCTCCAAGACAGTCAATGGCCTGGCTTGACGTGTCGGTTCCTTCACGGCCATCTGCAGCTGTGACTGTCCCAACACACGCCGTGAATTTGCACAAGCCAGAGCACCATCAAAACCCATGACATAATGTGCAAACCTCAACGACTGTACCAGTGAATGAGACCGGGACGCAGAGCTCGTGGTCGCTGACTGCTGCATGACGTAGCACCAAATGTCATGCTCTGCAAAAGGCAGCATTGGACAGCTACCATGCACTGCATTCCATCGATAATACATCATCAGTGCACCTGCCCGCTTCAGCACTGTATTCGGTGATTTCACACCCATCACTGAGGAAAGGACCAGTGCCGCCTGGTCGTCATCTGCATGTTCAATCTGTCTGCCAACTTCGGAGCAGGCAGGGTCCAGCAAAACCAAAAATTTCCACTTTGCCAACGCAGAATTCATTGTCCTATCCTTCTGCTGTAAGTAAGTCTCATCAGTCTTGTGAATCACATACTGAGCGCAAGACCACCTGCACTGCGAGGGAATCAAAGGCTGCTCAACGTCGCCAGCACGGACTCCAGAAGATGGTAAGTCAGATGAACCCCAGTCTAAAGGCATGGAAAGTGATACACTAGGTCCAAGGTCTCCAAAAATTTGCTTCATCAATGGGGTTTCCCATGGCATGGTGACACCTGTAACCCTAGCACCACGAATGTACAAATCTGACACTGCAGCACAATCGTCAACGAAGGAACTGCGGCCTCCCACATCTGGCATGCATGGTAACTCACTTGCACATGCTGAAGAAGGTTCATACTCCGAAACAGCTGCATTGAAACTGAGGTCGTAGCCAGAGCCACTGAAACCAGGTACAATCGGAGCTGGGGCTGTAATCGCAGGTATGTCTACATGAGCAGTGTCACAAACGGGAGTAGAAAAGTCACAGCCATGAGATTCAACAAAAAAGTTTTCATCACATGCAGTCTGACTTGCGTCCACATCCACTGAAGAAGATTCTGCCGTCCTCTGCCATTTACGTCTCAAGCCTTTCAACTGAGGCTCACTCACACTCACTGGTGCGTCATCCATGGCATCTACCCCCGGGCAACTTTGCAGCGCTAGAAACAAAAGGATATGTTGACTTACTGAAATCTTGTTCACAATGTATTCAACTCAACTGAAAGATGTCACATGGAAACATGATGCACAATGGTTCAAGCGACACCGTCGAGCCAGCCTGCTGAATCGCACACGCTTCTTCTTTCAAGCCATAACTCACAATCATGACATGACCGTTTGAATGTCAGTACGCCCCTTTTGAATGAGGCCCATTTTGACTTAAAATCACAACAAGCTCCAAGCAAAACAGTGTCAGTTGCGCTTGTCACGTATGAAAGAACACACAGAGCTGCACCGAATGACAATTCAATCAAATCCCGTTTCCCAAAATCGGAAACTCAATTCTACTCTGAATCAAGGTCGGGCAAGGCGGGCAAGCGGATTTTTTTCCTTGTAGCCAAAGTCAGGGGATATGTCAGATTGCCACCCAAAATTCATGTGTGCACACTCACACGGTGACCTTTCTCGCACTCGCAAATTGTCGCTGCCGACACCGGCAAAAATCTCGCACGGACTTTCAAGTTGCCAATGGTTCATGGGGCGCAATGCCGCGATCATGCAAATCCAGTTCGGGGGAAGAAAAATCAATTATACCAGCGTTGACCCCAAACAGAAGTGGAAATTTTCAATTATATTGTACATGCGAAACAAGGAACCCAGAGTGGGAGACAAGTGTGGGAGACAAGTGTGGGAGACAAGTGTAAACTCATGCGCTCCCAGACATCCAGAGTGGGAGATACGTGTGGGAGACAAGTGGGAGGCAGATGTAAAATCATGCGGCCCGAGACACCCAGAGTGGGAGACAAGTGTGGGAGACAAGTGGGAGACAAGTGTAAACTCATGCAGCCCAAGGCACCCAGAGTGGGAGACAAGTGTGGAAGACAAGTGTGAGGGACAAGTGGGAGACAAAGGTAAAATCATGCAGTCCAAGGCACCCAGAATGAAAGACAAGGGTGGGAGACAAGTGGAAGACAAGTGTAAACTCATGCGGCCCAAGGCACCCAAGTGTGAGGCACAAGTGGGAGACAAGTGTAAAATCATGCGGCCCAAGGCACCCAGAGTGGGAGCCAAGTGTGGAAGACAAGTGTGGGAGACAAGTGTACACTCATGCAGCCCAAAGAACCCAGAGTGGGAGACAAGTGTGGGAGACAAGTGGGAGACAAGTGTCAACTCATGCGGCCCCAGGCAACCAGAGTGGGAGACAAGTGTGGGGGGCAAGTGGGAGACAAGTGCAAACTCATGCGGCCCAAGGCACCCAGAGTGGGAGACAAGTGTGGGAGACAAGTGTGGGTGACAAGTGTAAACTCATGCGGCCCAAGGCACCCAGAGTGGGAGACAAGTGTTGGAGACAAGTGGGGGACAAGTGTAAACTCATGCGACCCAAGGCACTCAGAGTGGGAGACAAGTGTGGGAGACAAGTGTGGAAGACAAGTGTAAACTCATGCGGACCAAGGCACCCAGAGTGCGAGACAAGTGCGAAAGACAAGTGGGACACAAGTGTAAACTCATGCGGCTCAAGGCAACCAGAGTGGGAGACATGTGTGGGAGACAAGTGTAGGAGACAAGTGTAAACTCACGCGGCCCAAGGCACCCAGAGTGGGAGACAAGTGGGAAACAAGTGGGAGACAAGTGCAAACTCATACGGCCAAGGCACCCAGAGTGGGAGACAAGTGTGGGAGACAAGTGGAACACAAGTGTAAACTCATGCGGCCCAAGGCACCCAAGTGTGAGGGACAAGTGGGAGACAAGTGTAAAATCATTCGGCCCAAGGCACCCAGAGTGGGAGACAAGTGCAAAGACAAGTGTGAGGGACAAGTGTAAACTCATGCGACCCAAGGCACTCAGAGTGGGAGACATGTGTGGGAGACAAGTGGGAGACAAGTGCAAACTCATGCGGCCCAAGGCACCCAGAGTGGGAGACAAGTGTGGGAGACAAGTGGGAGACAAGTGTAAAATCATGCGGCCCAACACACCCAGAGTGAAAGACAAGTGTGGGAGACAAGAGGGAGACAAGTGTAAACTCATGCGGGCCAAGGCACCAAAGTGTGAGGGACAAGTGGGACACAAGTGTAAAATGATGCGGCCCAAGACACCCAGAGTGGGAGACAAGCGTGGAAGACAAGTGTAGGAGACAAGTGTAAACTCATGCGGCCCAAGGCACCCAGAGTGGGAGACAAGTGTGGGAGACAAGTGTAAACTCATGCGGCCCAAGGCACCCAGAGTGGGAGAAGTGTGGGAGACAAGTGGAAGACAAGTGAAAACTCATGCGGCCCAAGGCACCCAGAGTGGGAGACAAGTGTGGGAGATAAGCATGCGGCCCAAGGCAACCAGAGTGGGAGACAAGTGTGGAAGACAAATGTGGAAGACAAGTGAAAGCTCATGCAGCCCAAGGCACCCAGAGTGGGAGACAAGTGTGGGAGACAAGTGGGAGACAAGTGTAAAATCATGCAGTCCAAGGCACCCAGAATGAAAGACAAGGGTGGGGGACAAGTGGAAGACAAGTGTAAACTCACGCAGCCCAAGGCACCCAGAGTGGGAGACAAGTGGGAAACAAGTGGGAGGCAAGTGCAAACTCATACGGCCCAAGGCACCCAGAGTGGGAGACAAGTGTGGGAGATAAGTGTGGGAGACAAGTGTAGGAGACAAGTGTAAACGCATGCGGCCCAAGGCAACCAGAGTGGGAGACAAGTGTGGAAGACAAGTGTGGAAGACAAGCGTAAACTCATGCGGCCCAAGGCACCCAGAGTGGGAGACAAGTGTGGGAGACAAGTGGGAGATAAGTGTAAAATCATGCAGCCCAAGGCACCCAGAATTAAAGACAAGGGTGGGACAAGTGGAAGACAAGTGTAAACTCATGCGGCCCAAGGCACCCAGAGTGGGAGACAAGTGTGGGAGACAAGTGTGGGTGACAAGTGTAAACTCATGCGGCCCAAGGCACCCAGAGTGGGAGACAAGTGTAGGAGACGAGTGTAAACTCATGCGGCCCAAGGCACCCAGAGTGGGAGACAAGTGTTGGAGACAAGTGGGGGACAAGTGTAAATTCATGCGGCCCAAGGCACTCAGAGTGGGAGACAAGTGTGGGAGACAAGTGTGGAAGACAAGTGTAAACTCATGCGGACCAAGGCACCCAGAGTGCGAGACAAGTGCGAAAGACAAGTGGGACACAAGTGTAAACTCATGCGGCTCAAGGCAACCAGAGTGGGAGACATGTGTGGGAGACAAGTGTAGGAGACGAGTGTGGGAGACAAGTGTAAACTGCAAACTCATGCGGCCCAAGGCACCCAGAGTGGCAGACAAGTGTGAAAGACAAGTGGAAGACAGGTGTAAACTCATGCGGCCCAAGGCACCCAGAGTGGGATGCAAGCCCGGAGACAGAGCCAAAATCATGCGGCCCAGGGATGCAACCCTTTGCAAGCATTAAAAGGAGTAAGAACCCCATACAGGTAAACCTGTTTGGGGAATAGAATCGTGTGTCAGATATAGCAAACGCATCATTGCTCATCCCATGAAGTCGTCTGGGAAAAAAACGTAAGTGTCTTGCAGCAATCGCATCCCCTGTTTTCTAGCAGGATCGCTCCATAGAAAGGCTGCGTGGTACAAACAAAAAACATGGGTTTACTCAACACAATGTCGCCCCGGTCCTCGCCGCATATCAAACGAGCGGCCAGCTGAGCCTGGTTCCGCGTCGGAAGGTCGGCAACGTTACTTTTCGTCGGTAAAAGTTAAAATTTCATACCAAGAACTAACTGGCCAGGCAGCTAGAAAAACATTGTAGAGGACCCGCTGCGCTTCCTTTTGCCAGAACTGTTCTGGTTACTTCTTGCCTATCTATGCAATAACTGGTCTATGCAAAAAGTATTCCTTGCAATGATACAGAAAAATGAGGAAGGCATAAATCTCCACTTGACAAATTACCTGGTCTCCTACTCTGTCATGCCAGCAATCCAAGACAGCTTGTGGAACCCTGCCGCGATGCAGAAAATGAGAATTACCAGCACAATCTACCATCACCGCTCCCCAGGTGCCCACACCAGACTCAAACGCACCATCCGTGTAGGCCAAAACACGCTGCTCAAAAGGCCCAGGCCGCAAGACACGCGGCCCCATGCTGGAAACAATGAGCGGTGTTTCGCAAAAGGTTTTGACCATGGCCGCGTTCGTGCACCAAGCCCCGTGGTTGCTCAAGTTGTGGATCGGGAACTTTAGGGATCGCCCCAAAACAAAACGGCCTGCAAATTCAACATGCCCATCAGCACAGTTGACCGATTCTTAGCAAACATTCTTCTCCGATCTCTTCTAGGACCTTGAGGATGCGTTCTGCCCGGCCCTGTCTGTTCTGGACCTTGAAGCACTCAGCACAATCATGGACTCAGAAAGAGTCACGGCTTTTCTTCCTGTGATGGCATGCTGCCACCCAAGCATGTGGGACCGCACAGATTAAAAAAGAAAGACCACGTTCCATCCTCCCTTCGCACTGTTAAGCCGCGTGCGCCTTTGCAACGCAAGCTTTCAGAACATCCAACCTGCGCTTTGCTGCTTCAACATGCCCGCAACTCAGAAGGTCCATAGCAGCATGTTTGAGCTCCTGGGGCACGCCCTGTGTAGATTCGGTAGGATGGCTCACCTTGCAAGCTTCTTCCAAGTGCCCCGACATGGAGAAAATACATCCCAACTTTGTATTTGTGGCGCTGCCATCTGTGCCAACCACACCGTCACTGTCCTTTTGTCCCCTGCCGGAACAACCTGGAGCAATTTGAACTCTACATCAGAGAGCTGCAAGACGGTATCAATGCGCTTGTACTCAAGGATCAGCGGCGCATGCTGCACCATTTGAGAATTGGATGCTGTCAGCGTATCTAGCCAGAAATGCTTGATGGTGGCTTCTAGTTTGGCAGCGTCGATCAAGGGGAGCGCGCGTTGCATGTAAGCCTGGCAGAACGCTTCAATGCATTCTGTATGATGCGGCTCAAGGCACATGGGCATGGCTGCCATCACACGTTTTGGCCGTTTGGCCAATGAAAGAAAACAGGTGCGTGATGCCAAAAGGCGGGTTGTCCGGGCGGATGTTCCTTTAAATCCGCCCGCACCGAAGGTGCTGGGGCGTGATCGTCCGGACGGCACTCGTAAAAGGTTACAGGTTTACCTGGGGGGGGGGCATTTTTCGGCCAAAACCTCCTGTTTTTGATAGGTCGTGACGCTCGCCTTCAAAAAACACTGTAAAAAACAGTACGGAAGACACCTGTTCGTGAACGCGCCCGTCCAAAATCGGCAAGCGAAAAGTGAAAAAAACCCGTGTTTTTCAACTTTTTGACCTCATTTTTTTGGTTTGCAACATCTTTTTTTGCGGTTCCGCAGGTGGCCTGGCCCGGAGGCGGATTTTTGAGTTTTTGGACCCGTTTTCGGACTGATTTTCGTCGTTTTGTGATAGCAGAAACACTGGTTTTTACAGTGTTTTTCTGTTTTCTGCATGCTTGACGGCTAGCTTCAAAACTTCCAAAAACCTCGTAAATTACGCTGTTTTATGTTACGGTGTGAATGAAAACATCGTAAATAGCAGTGTTTTTTGACGTTGGTTAAAAAAACACTGTAAATTATTTAAAATTTTTAAGGCTCACGAAATTCAAACCAACGATTCTAAATAAGTGCAATGGAAATGTGACGAAACGCATCGGCAGCTCTCCTCTTCCTTTTTAAACCACGATGGGTACATTCGACTTTGGTTGAATCGAATTGTTTCAAGTTGACAATTGTCCTTGAAATGAAATGATGAAGTTCCAACGTGTCGATGGGACATAACGAAAATTTATCTTGTTGAATTGGAAATGACAAGAGTAAAGGATAAATTGTTCTTTCAAGATGATTATTTGATCAGTCAACGAATACCATCCCATCACACATTGAAAGTAGCAAAAACAACGACATGCTTAGGGTTCAATGTCATGCCAAAAGAGGCCATTGTAGCCTGATCCAGCCATATGTGCATCGAAAGATTCAACATCTTGAGCATTTTGCTCTTCGAGATCCAACTCATGCTGACGTAAAAGATGAGCGTCAACATCATCTTGAGCGTCGAAATCAGAAGTTGGTTGGTCCAGCTCTGTTATTAAACTTAAAGCTGGCGACAAAGTTGGATTGTCAACAGTTTGTTCCAAGGGAATTAAGGGTGGAACATTTCGAATGAACTTGACCAACAGCAAAACAGAAAGAAAATCTGCAGCAGAAAACAACACAGAACTCAACAGTTCAGGTGTTCCGATTCCCTTAAATTGATGAAAAGAAATCAACTCGCGGATCAAACAATTTGCAAACGAGAGATCGTCAATCAGTTGATCGAGAGCCACGTTTGAAAGAGAGGAAGAGAACAGAAAGATAGAAGTAGCAGGATGAGGGACAAAGAAATTTGAAATCGGTTCAAAATGGCCGGAAAATGCAGCGTGAATTAGCGAAGACATAAATGCCCAGTGCCTGCCGCAAAAACTGTCTGAGATGTTTTCGAGAATGAAATATAGGATATGAAGAAGACGAACGAGTTTGTCGCCATTGTCAATGGACATGGAAAGCCACTCACGCACGGTCTGAGCGAGGATATCCATTGTGCCTGGCAAATGGGAATGAAATGATGAAAATGGGAGAGGGAGGGGAGAAAAATGACAAGCACGAGTGCAAATGAAGAATCAGGTTGGTTAGAATTTCTTGAGCCATGGCAACGGAAATAAAAACAGAATTTCCGATCTCAAAAATTTTAAATAAAGAAATGTCTAACTACGTTAGAAATTGATCTTATTTAAAATTTTTAAGGCTCACGAAATCCAAACCAACGATTCTAAATAAGTGCAATGGAAATGTGACGAAACGCATTGGCAGCTCTCCTCTTCCTTTTTAAACCACGATGGGTACATTCGACTTTGGTTGAATCGAATTGTTTCAAGTTGACAATTGTCCTTGAAATGAAATGATGAAGTTCCAACGTGTCGATGGGACATAACGAAAATTTATCTTGTTGAATTGGAAATGACAAGAGTAAAGGATAAATTGTTCTTTCAAGATGATTATTTGATCAGTCAACGAATACCATCCCATCATCAGAACTTGACTGTCAAATTGATTCCAATTTCTTGATGAATTCTTGAATTATGAATCTGAAGACCTCTTTTGGAAAAGTGAAGCACTCGGCACCAAGACTCTCGACTTCGTCCATGGAACTCCTTGAAGGACCATCTGCTATGTTGGACGCACTCGCAACTCTTGATATCCAGGGGACAAACTTCAATCGTTGCTCAAAGTCCAGGAACAAGTAAACAAGTGACCTCGATGAGTGGTTCACAGATCCAGCGTTTATCAAGGCACTCTGGGCAGCGACATTGTCCACATGAATGTAGATGAACTTAGACGAAATATCATCAGCAAAAGCAACGCATGACATTATTACCGGCAATATCTCCAACTGATGAATCTTTCCCCCTACTACCTCCACGTCATCCTGTGTCGGTTCGTAGGAGAAAGCTTTGAGGCACTTCCCATGTTGATCAACCAGAACAGCGCCCAACCCCGCGGTGATTCCAGAGTTAGCGTCACCTTCCAAGGATCCATCTGTGAAGATGTGAATAACTTCTGCCTTCCCAAAGGAAACCTGTCTTGCCATGCCACTTTCAAGGTGTCCCCTCATGATCCTCAAGCAATCTTGTGTTGCCATTCAACCTGACTCTGTGTTTGTTCCATTCATATTTTCCCAGATCCTTGAGCACTGAAGCCGTTGTTCGCCCATAAATTTGCGCCGAGGCGAAGCTCAATCGGCTTCTCAACGACTTGGCTTCCTTGCCGCTAATCTTGTTTGCCGTGAGGACTTCATCAATTCTCCCCAACAGCTCACAGATCCTCTGATCTGTGTTCCGGATGCGAAAGTAATCACCAATCTCTTTGTGCAAATCAAATGAAACTCCCAAAGCGTTGAATACTTTTGCAAAATCCGGGTTCTTTCGTTCGGAAGTACTAAGGTTTAAACCAAGTACATCGAACAGGGTCGTCACTGCCAATTTTGCGCTTTTCGAAAATTCAGATCTCGTGACGACAGTGAAGTCGTCAAAGTATGACGACATAGGCAGTCCTAGCAAGGAACATCCGACGTTGTTAATCGCTGCTGCTGTACGTAAAAAGGAGTAAACTGAAGAGATTGCTCCAAATGGCATGGTCGCCATTGTGAACCCCCGGACTTTGTTGAGCCCAGGGTCAAACACACATATTACAGCTTTTGACCTCTCTGAAGGCAGGATCGCCAGTTGGCGATACGCTGCCTCCATGTCAAATGTTCTTCCTTCCAAATCGTCTGCCCCTGCCATGAAAAGGTGTTTGATCAAGGAAGCAATCTCGTCCACACCTTGCAGCACGATCTTCTCTGAAGTTCCAACAGTTGAATTGATACTTGAAAAAGTGAAATCATCTATTGCCCTCGATTTTTCTCCTTGTTGGATAATGAAACGCGGGGAAAGGATGACTCCTTCCCCCAAATTGAATGCATCAACTTCCTCCACAATCCAGCCACGATTCATTTCATCAATCGTGATGTCAAGAAGAGTCTTCGCATTCTCATCAGACGAGTTGTGCTCACACCTGTAGATTGCAGCTGCATTCAATTGTGGTGCCATAGATTCCAAAGTCGACGTAGAAATTTGCGGAGGAGAAGACAATCTCGGAAAGAGATTCGAAGGTCTAAGCCATCCAGTGAGCTTAAAACCAGTTTCCAAATCGTCCACAATCTCAATGTCAGGGTGATCGATCGATCGAAGTAGTTCCCTGAGCAAGCACAGTCTCTTTTTTGCATTGACTTTCTTGACCACTTCATCGCAATTGAATTGCCTTTTCCGTTCTTCGGAGGCCAATTCTTTTGCTCTTGAGAGAATTGAATTCAAGACTCTTGCTTGAAAACGAAGATATTCTTGTTGCGCCTTTTCAGTCATAATATCAATTGCAGTTGGGTACCATCCCCACGCTGAAAAGCTCAATTGGCATGGGTGGTCAGTACCACTTAATCTCTCCAAATATTCTTTGGGTGATATTGGTACGAGCACCTTCATCTTCCTCTTGTCGTCAATAGAGGTATTGAACTGAGCTCTCGAACTGGACCCATCATCAAACTGGAGCTCAGGGGGAAATACAGAGCCTTTGGTGAAGGGAGATGGGAGCTTCTGCGAAGGCAAACATATTGATGGCAGCTGGTCTTGGGTGATCCAAACATCGTGAAATGAGGATGGGAGAAATGAAAATTGAAGCCCACGAGGTTGTATGCCAACGGAACCTCGAAGAAGATGTTTGGCATGGAGAGGATTCGTAGCTTGAGAATCGAATAAGTCAATTGGTGGCATGGAAAAACCTCTAGACACAGCAATTTCCGCAAGCAAATCTGCAACTGCGGCACAGAATAATTGAGGATACGCAGCCTCTTCACTGGTATGGAAGTAAATGTCATTCTCAGTAGAAGAACGCCATGGAAAGTGTTCATGAAGGTTGTCACAAAGGATCGCCAAGGAAGAGATGTCAAAATTAGCCAAGAGACCAGTTCTCTTGGGTCGAAGTCCAGCGTACATGCAATTGTGAAACAAAATTTTTGGGAAGTCTCGATGGCGTTGTGAAATCCACGATGTATTCCAGAAAAAGCTGTCAAAAGGATTTTCAATAATCCATTGAATCTGCAGGCTATCACAAAGATGACAAACATTTTCACAAAGTTCATACAAAGTGTTAGCAGCGAGAACTCGATCCAAGTCAATGTTTTTGAGTGAAGGTAGTCCATCTGGAAAGATGTCTGAACGTAAAGGTTCAGCAAATGATTTGCCATGCTTGTTCTGTACAGGAATGTTGCGTGCACGAGAGGCTGTACCACATGGAGGCGCAAGCCAAACCAAAAAGGGTCTTTGAGTGCGAATGATGTCCAAAAGAAGTAGTTGATCATCTCGAAGAGTAAGATCGAAAATCAATGTACGAAATTT